TTGGTAAGACACACACGCTGCACGCAACATCTCACAGCACATACACAATGTAGCAGATATTATTAGATAGATGGAATGTGTGAGTGTTATGAATGCATTGTAACTCTGTAATATTATAACTCTGTAACCTTCTTCTGTTATATTTAACTGGGAAGATTTTAAGTAAAGATTTCTCTCTGGTAAGAACTATGGTGTTGGCTGTTTATTTGTAATATCGGTTAGAATGCCTTAGTAGTGCTAGTCATATATTTATCTGGACAAGGGGATAAAGATATATGTTAGTTCTTGAAAGAGGTGACACAGGGATATTACATTCACTATTAATACACAATGTAGAGTGGATTTCTCTCAAAAGAAATACCAATTGGAAGTATTGGTGGTGAGAGAAGAATTCTACAACAGTGGTAAGTGGTGTACCTCAGGGTTCTGTTTTGGGACCGCTTCTATTTAACATATTTATAAATGATCTTGCAATAGGCATTGAAAGCCATGTTTTAGTGTTTGCAGATTACACAAAACTTTGTAAAGTAATAAAATGTGAGCAGGATATTGCTTTGCTGCAGAGGGATTTAGATAGATTGGGGCACTGGGCACTAAAATGGCAGATTAAATTTAGCGTAGAGAAATGCAAAGTTATGCATTTCAGGGTCAAGAATGCACAAGCAACTTACACCCTAAATGGTAGTGAATCAGAGATAACCACACACGAGAAGGATTTGGGAATTGTTATAGACAAAGAATTAGGCAGCAATATGCAATGTCAATCTGCAGTTAGAAAGAGGAGTGTCTCGGTGAAGCACTTATATGAAGAATAATAGGTATAGAACAGTCTCTGGTGTAATTACAGAGTAGCCCAATATAAAATGGGCATACCTTTAAAATGATATTCTCTTTCTAGAGGTACCAGTATTTCTGTGTATACCTTCTGTGTATACAAGACATAAGAATACAAATCATAGTGCAAAGTGTACAGTATAATGAAAGTGTGAGAAATAGTGCCAAGTGATAACTCACAATTTTCTGAGCTAAAAAAACTTAGCTCAAGTTCTTGCGCCTTAGGGTCCGTTAAGGCGACCCTCTCCCTCCTTGACGTCCAAACTTTCTTAGGGTTTTTTCCTTGCTCTGCTTGCCAAGGGGTACAACTTTAAACTTTAGAAAAACCTTGATAACAATCGCCTTCCCACGAGGTGCAGGCTTGCTTTGCCTGCACCTCTGCAAGCGAGCACCTCGTGGGAAGGTGATTGTTATCAAGGTTTTTCTAAAGTTTAAAGTTGCACCCCTTGGCAAGCAGAGCAAGGACAAAATCCTAATAAAGTTTGGACGTAAAAGACGTACAAGTATGTAAGCCTGTACATATCACTCACCCCGGGAACCCAGACTGACGGGAGAATATATGGTACGGGGAAGTACCAGATCCGACCATGTTAGCTAAGTCGAGTACTTGACCCCTGACTGTTTTTTATTACTTATCTTACTTTTATTATTGAAGGGTTAAAATTGTCTATTGCCTTACCTTTTAGTTAATTCACTTGAAGGGCTTAATCTAATAACTGCTGACAAATACTTACTGATTGTGTAACCAAGGGAACATTGAAACCATACTATGTCAACACGACCTAGAACATGGCCTGTTGTTATTGCCAGATATTCTTGAGTCAATACTATCAGAATGTATATACGTGCTTCTAACCATGTAACTGTACCTTTTGAATTTGTATAAAAACTCTGCCTACAGACATTAACATTTGAACTCGTTTAGAAACAGCTACCTTGTGTGTGTGTCTCCTTACTTGTTTCCGGAGTACTCTGAGGAAAACAGGTACTTGACCGTTAACTAGAAGCTACTTTCCCCCAACAATTATATCCTTCACAATTGCTAGCGAGTTACACACAGTAGTGTATCCAGGTTTTGTGCTGCCCTAGGCATGACAAAACTCAGGCGCCCCCCCCCGTGCCACCCCACCTGCCACCTCCCCTGCTCCCCCCGCCCCGCCTTCAAAATACACACACACATATTCACTGACAGACACGTATACACTAGCTAACAGACATACACACTCACTAACAGACACATACAGTCACTAGCAGACACACACACATTCATTAACAGACACGCATACACTCTCACTAACAGACACACACAAAGTAACAAACTCCCTAACAGACACACTCCCTGACATACACACACTCACTAACAGACTCACACTCACTAACACACACTCACTCACTAACAGACACACACACTAACAGATACACACACTCACTCACTAACAGACACACACACACACATATTAACACACTAATTTTTTTAAATTCAATCCCCCCAGCCACCTTACCTTTGGGAATGTTGGGGGGGGGGTTCCATTTCCCTGGGGTCCAGTGGGGCTGCTGGGCTGGCGGGCAGCACTGGCGAGGGAGCTCTCTGCTCAGCTTTCTGGCGCACCGCAGAGTGATGCCGGGAGCCGGAATACAACACCCGACCGCCCAACCGGATTTTTAGTTAGTCGCCAGGCTAACAAGACATTTGCCTGGGCATTTGGGGGCGGCTTTTTTGTCGTCCCCTGGAAAGTGTCGCCCAAGGCAAATGCCTTGTTTGCCTCGCAGCTAATACGTCCCTGGTTACACAGCACCTTCATGCTATTGCTAACACAACGGCAGGCTAGCTAATTTCTTGAGAGTCTCAGTGTCTAGATTTATGACAACTATGTTTGGCTGGATAATGCTGTCTAGCTCACAGATTTGTTTTCGCTCTAACATAATTAGTAATCATCCTGTCTGATGCTTTTAATTATTAAATCTCTTACCTAGTCTCACACTCAGTCATGTATGTTCAGCATGTTTATTCCTTAAATATAAAATAGTGCAGTTTCTTGTGACATGATACCTGCCTCTATTACCTATATGATTGTGAACAATGTTATACTTCTTCGTGTTATTGCATCTGTCTGTACTTCCCTGCACTACAAATATATAGAATTAACAAACAATGTGACAATCCACAATAGTTGTGACAAAAGTGTTTCAATTATTATTATGCAGGTAAATATTTAAAGTGCACATGTGACAGCAATGTTCTCAATGCCAAAACAATTGCACTAATAAAAAATGCCAATATTCTGGAGCATGTTCACACAAAGCCCTGTGGAGAGGGTGCTGTGGAACACTAGCAACAGTCAACGACTTAATGATTTTTACTTTGTGCAGCAGAAGTGAATAGGGTTATCTTGACCTCTGTGGATCATACTCCATTTCGAGGTTCTGCAGATGGGTTTCGTTGCTATTCCTTTTTACCATTGTTTTGCTCACAATTAACTTTGACGTATTGTTTCAGATGGACAGGTTTAAGCTTACACGGTGTTTAACTCCTAAATGGATATACTAAAAAAAAAAAAAAAATGTTAAAAAAGAAAGAAACAAACAAAATTGTACTACTTGGGGTTCTGCTTGTCCTTCTATCATTGTTTATTCATATTGTTGCTAAATGACAATAAAACTTTAATTTACAAAAAAAAATTCGGTACATGCAAAAATCACTACAAATAGCAATAGAGAGAGAACGACCAATAGATTTGCACAGTATCCTTCTGTTGGACCAAAAGGTATAGTAATGAAAAAAATAGAGGCACACATTGTTAGATAAATCAGGTAAAAAGATTGAAACTCTAAATTATTAAACTCACAAGTGCCGAGTGGTTAAGGTACCACTCTAAACTGTAGAGCTCAGGAAGGATTAGTCCCTTGAGAGCGTGGGATCCAATGATACCTATTTATTAGTGTACATTATAACATACAACTATATTGCTTAAAATATATAATTTATTGTGACAACAACAATCTATGTGATAGTAACATTATCAGTGATCAAACAATACGTAACAAAGAAAATTGCTTCAAACATGTCAGAATATAATTTCCAAAGTAGATAATGAAATCTGCATAACAAGTAATTTAGATAATTATAATTTCAATGGAAAATAGCTAGATAAGTTGCTGTAAAGTTCAGATTGTTAGGAGAATGGTGCATAACAATAGTACAGTTTAATAGGTGAAATGATTTTAAGAAAATTAATTTGTAGAGTATCAGATCAGAATAATATTTATTAAAATAATAATATATAATATAATATAATTATTTATAAAGCCACAACAAATTCTGCAGCGCTGTACAATGGGTGGACTAACAGACAAGTATTTGTAACCAGACAAGTTGGATGCATAGGAACAGAGGGAACTGAGGGCCCAGCTTACATTCTAGTGGAAGTGGTTGTGAAGGAATGCCCCATCACATGGTTTTGGTAATATTCGTTTTTCCCTGTTCGTTTGTTCATTCGAAACTTCCATAGTTCGGACCACCCCAACATCTAATTAGAACGTGGAATACAAAGTATCCAGTGCGAAACCACAACAGATACTCCCAGCATACAGTCTTGACTAATGTTTGGGGAGAAAGGTGATCCCAACGCTATTTATTTTTATGAGTGATAGAGCTGCGTTACTTTGGGAAAGGGAGTCCGTGGCGGCGATATACTGGTTGTCCACCACAGTGAGGTATAGTGGGGTATAATTAAACTGTTAATGTCTCCCAACTCTTCTCCTTCAACTGTCATTAAAAAAAAATAAAAAAAAAACACCCACACTAAGTCTTTAGTTAATACTTTTCTACTAATCTACTTTCCTAATACTTTCATTACCTTTTGTGTCACTTTACTCCACTCCCTCTAGCATGTAAGCCCATTGAGGAGGGCCCTCAGCCCCTATTTTCCTGTGCGTCAAAATTGTCGGGTTACAATGACTTCTTTGTTAGTCCACCCATTGTAAAGCGCTACAGAATTTGTTGGCGCTATATAAATATAATAATAATAATAAAAGTGACACAAATGGTAAGTGTAGTTTTCACTCAGTGTTTATTTTTTGGTTGTTTTTTTTTTTGTTAAGTAGTGAGTCATGAGAGAGTGATGGTAGAGTGATCAATCCAGAATTTACATTCAAGAGAGCAATCCCTTCTACATTATATAAATGTTTCCTTATTGCAGATAACTTAAAGTACAACTTTGCAGACACCATAGATCAACATAAAGAATTGGAAAAGTAAACATTCTGGGACATAACAAACATGCAATACACCTTTGTCATCAAACAATATCTTCATCACATATTATGTGGCACCCATATATTCTGCAGTATTTTATCATTTTAGAAGATAAAACAAATACCTTCAGATGGAACTATATAATAATATCAGATGCCGGGCAAGAAGTTGATTAAACACTGGGGGCCACTTAGACTAACATCAATATAGATAACTTTTAGATGTATTCTGGTGCAGATTATGCCCTTCTGTCTATGTTGGACAAAAGATAATTATCACTTGTCTGTGGAAGTTATAATTTGACCATAAATTAATATAATTCACATAGATCCTGATCTCTAACTAATTTAAACCAGCTTCATATGGAAGCATGAACAGAATATGTTAATATTAATTCCCAAATAAACAACACAAATGTAAACAATAACAAAATCTTGCACATCTAGTTTTATAAAAAATCAATTTCACGTGTATAGAAATACTCATTTAACAGGCTAAATAACAGCATTTGGCTAAATAAACCATTTAACAGCTAAAAATGTATACTGGACTAGACTATTCAAAAAACTAACTTTCAAAAATCACTAATTACACTATACTCATTATGCTGGAAATGTAGGATTAACACACCTCAACACACCTCAATAAGATCTCTTCATATTCTTTACCTCTTCACAAACATCCCACCTAGTTGCTCTTGTAGATACTTTAAAACTTTACAACTCTATTCATTACAACACCTCAAACACTTTTAACTTCACAAACTACATGGGACTCAGGTTTTCAAAATTATGTGATACAGTGATCTGCTAAGTGAATATTTATTTCTATTTATTTACTCACATAAATTTCAGACATATCTACATTCATTCTGCTTAAACAATATCAGAACACATCCCACACATTCATTGTTTCACTAACAGACTGCATTTATATGAAATAAAAGAATCTACAATTCAAGAGTATGCAACAGCCTGTAGCAAAGCAAAATATTTAGGGAGGCAAAATGCGATGTTAAACGATCCTAGGAATTAAGATGTTGTCAGTGGTGGGTGTGAGACCCCGCAAGAATAATTAATTTACTAAAAAAAAAACACCTATTACTAAGACAGAGGGGGACTCAAACCCACCTCACAGAGGGACTTTTACTCTCACTAAAAGAGAGGGGGACTTTAACCCACCTCACAGATGGACTTTAAACCTCACAGAGGTGCAAGCCATCATAACAGAGGGGAATTTTAACCCACCTCATGGATTGGGAACTAAACCCAACTCACTCGCTGGAATTTTAACATTGTCTACAATTACTGCCCCTTACAATAACACCAGGATCCTCCGATAAGGCAAAAAACATAAAAATAAATTTTTAACCCACTCTTTGTGGGCATCCTACCACTATGACCATGTTTGCTGATGTTCCTCTGCTTGACCCAGGGAGACTTTTCCCTGTATTCAGGCGAGGTCCAGCCACACCCTCAAGTGTTTGGGGTGCAATAAGCTCAGACTAACATGAAGTAAAATGAATGAGTACTTAAATTTATTAAAACAAATCAAGGATTTATATAGGCTTGCTAACAAAAAGTTCTAGACTTTAAGAAATGTGAATAATTAAGCATTAAAGAATGTACATAATTGAGTAATATGGCGGTTGCTTTTCCTACTCGTAGAAAGTGTGCATGGCAAACTGAAGGTTTTATTTTCTTATCTACAAAGCTTATGTAGCAATAAACTGGTCAGGGCAAGCTTTAGCCTAGTGAAAGACCAGTAAATAAATTTTAACCCTTTCACTATTCAATCCCAAAGGGAGATCATGTTTATGGATAGAAGCTTATTAAGGTCTAGGACCTCACAAATGAATGTTAACCATAAGAATTCCAATCATTCAGTTGTCACATGGCTTAAAGTGAACCTTTAATGACTGTCACTTCTCTGTCAGTGAACATTTAATGATTGTCACATATCTGCCCTCACTCTTTAAAATTACAGTTGCCTCACCCCATCCCTCACAAATGCCATTGCAAAATGTACTTGAGTGAATAAAGTAATAAAAGCAAGTAAAAATGCAATTACCTCTGCTGAACTTCCACATTGTTCATGACTTCAAGATTTTCTAATTTACAGGCCATGCAGCAAGACATGTAATTAAAAAAAAACAAGAAAACAATTAGTGATATTTTTCAGAAATAAATAGTACAACCTATAGCTCATATGTTGTTAGTTTTTGGTTATGAAAAAATCTTACTAGTGACAGTTTTTATTTTAAATATGTTGTCACGAGTCTTCAGTCTCCAGTTGAATTCCCAACTGTATTTTTTGAGACAGTAATCCCTTTTAGTTGTGTGGCCTCTGTGGCGAAGGAACCTGTTCTGACTGAATGGCCAATAATGGTTTCTCAGAGTCAGAATTCAGTTACTTAATGGTTTCTTTAAAGCCTTGCAAACCTAGTTTATTAGTAAACTGTGATATAGATAGACAGGACTTTTAGTGTCTGGTTAGATACTTGTGGAACCATGGTCTGGAGTTGGTGACTAAGTTTTGGAAGTATCCAGGATAGAAAAGATCTCAACTGTAGTCAACGTGGAGTGGAGGAGTCCACAGGAATGGCAATATGTTGTGGAGCATCATGGGTAAGGAGCCTTTCTCAGTCCCCAGAGCAAACAGAATGGGTTCTTTTCCTCAATTATTCCCCATCTCAGTGAATGAATCAATGCCATTGAAACAGTGTTTATAGTGAGTTAAGTTAGGAAGTCAGAAATAAACATGTGCTATTTATTAGCTAATTGTCTAAGTTCACCACTCCCAGCAAAGGGATTGAGTTTCTATGATGCCAGGAGACAAAATGGCAGATGTGGCTAATTAAAGCCTTAAAAAACAAAACATCTTCATCTTTACAAGTACCTTTCTTATCTGATATTTTGACCTCAGCACTAATACTCATTTTAACATTTGAAGTTAATGTTTGTGTATACTCATTGCTGTGACTTATTGGACTTATTGTTATATCTTGGCATCTCTGAACATTTCAGCAAGCGATTCACAATAGAATTTTGTCAGCAACCTCCTTAATGAGATTTTTTTTTTTGTTCAATTATCTATTTAAATTTTTAGCTCATTTCTGTAATAAACACTTATTTAAGAAATTTAGAGGATTGCAACAAAAGCTGAAAAAAAAAGTTAATCTGTCTATATGGACCAAATACTGTAAATGTTTATGAATGTCCACAAAAATCATATTTTTTTTTAATAACAAGAAATCCCCATTCAATAACAAGTTAACATATATATGACAAGAACATGTTGATTTGGTTCCTAGTGACAGTCTCTGGAGGATGAAGATTGTAAGAAGCAAAGGCTTGTGTCATTTCCCAAGCATCAATTATTCCAACATTAAGTCTTTTAAATAAGTCTTTAAATAGGAGATATTGGATATAGCCATGAAAATCACTAATTCGTTCTACATCTGTGTTTATTTCCCTTGAATTCTCTACTTTGATGAAGATCTTGGTTTCAGGACTTCGTTGAAAAATACGTTCAATGGCCTTTCGCACACTGAGTAGTCTTCTGATGAACAAACGTAGAGGGAAACCTCTGAAATGTTGTCCAAGTGTAATAACAATGATGGTGTTTGGACTCCCAGGAAGTCCATCAATTTCACGGGCAATGTAAGCACAGTCTTTGACAGAGTAGATACCTGGGCTGACAAATGGATGACCATGCTTCTTCCACTGAATATATATATTCCTATCCATGTCCAGAGCTAAATATCTTTTATGTATACCATGTCCAGGAAGATTAAAAAACTTGAGGCCTGGGAAAAAAATAAAAACATTAAAAAAAATATTGTGAGGTAAAAAAAACTTGATGTGTATCATGAGATAAAAATTGTTTAATTTGGTATGCGAAAATATTGTATACTCAATAGTAACATTTCTAAAACACTAGTAATTTGAAATGATGACAATAAATTGATAACTCTACATGATACATTTGCAAGTAATCCAAAAAAAGGTTTTACAATCAATACAATTGTTAGCATTTACTGACAATAAAAGCATTAAAAATTCAGGTCTGGAATAATTTTAAGAGGAAATTAAATAGGGATAATTTTTTTATAAATATAGCATCATTGTTAGCATTTGTTAGCAGTCAGTAGTCATTGTAATACAATAATATATTCCTAAAGTTAGAGTGATGTATGGCCTATTTACAAGTTTGCCCCACAGAATAAAATAAATAAAAATAAGATTTATATACCTTTTTTCTCTTGGTGGGCCCTTCCCCCCCACTAACTCTCTGCTGAAATCATCATTACTGATGGTTTTAGCCCATCCAATGTTTTCCCATAGGAACGCATTGGGGGGCTAGTGTGCATGTGCAATAGTTACCATTTTGTGCCACTCAGCATCTTCTTATAGGCATGCATCAACTCAATAATATTGTGAGCATAAAAGGTTGGGGTAAAGAGATACATAAAGCAACAAAAAGATACAAAGTAGGTAGGTAACTTACATATTATGTCGCTAAATGGTAAGCAAAGACTGATGTCAACAGTTAATCTAATTAATAAAGTACTAATATGCGGATATTTTGTCTAGAAAAATCAAGTACTTGTACATAGTTATAAGAGCAAATAATGTTAATACTTACTCTTCATATGTTTTTGGAAGTATTCAATCCACTGACGAAGTGTTGAATCTCCCATAAGGTATATCAATTTCCCAGTTAAACACTCATTGATTTGAGACAAAGGTTCAAAAGAAGAAAGGTTGCAGAAGTTTGAGTGCCATAAATTATTTAAAAAATATCCACTTGGATATGGCACAGGCATCCCAATTCTACATGTTGGTTTCATGTCCGTAAAGTTTCCTGAAAAATGCATAGATTACAACAAAATAAAATTCCATCTTTTTACATTATCTTTGTCTTTGCACATTATCACATTGCCATTTTAAACTTATACAGATAAACTTATACAGATAAAATACAATATACATTTTTACATGTTTGTTTTTGAAAACGGATTTTTTTTTTCTTGAAACATGGCGCGCTCTGATATATTGGCAAATGTGCAGAGGCTTGAATTTTACTATTAGAGCCTCTACCTGCCTGCCATCTCTTTTAATATATTCTTATATTATAATAACCCCCCAATCTAGCTACAGGTGGGGGACAATATATTTTTTATGTCCTCCACCCGATGTCCATGTTCTTTCTTGTTATTTCAAAGGCCCTGTTCCCTGTTATGGGGTGTTTACAAGCAACAATAACTGCCCAGTACCTAGTTTTAAACATTTAGTAGCCATGCTGTAGGTTTTTTTTTTTTTCTTTTTTTTTTTCATTTCAGACAGTACCAGCCAAAATATTTTTTGAATACTTCATTGTTTAAGGCTTTGGTAGAGAGTCATCATCAATAGTGTATTCCCTCCTCCTGTCTCTCCCTTAACTTAATCCTAATTTAACCTATGTTTTTAAAATTGTCACCTGGTTCTTAACATTCTTTAATTTAATCTTGTGAGAGTCTGTATCTCAGCCAATAAAATGAATAAAGGGAGGGTGTTAACATCTCATTTTATAGGGGATACATTTCTCAATCCACATTCATTCATCAGTCAGTCATACATTTTCTTGGTACAGTAGTGATATCTCAATGTATCTTATCACTTACTTTACAGTCGGGAAGTAAGTGATCAGCTAATTTATATTATTTCTTGTGTTAGATCCTTCTCCTCTTGTTCCATGAATTTTAACCAGTTAATCAAAATATAATTATCTCTATAATTACTTCTAATTCTATTTACACCTATTTCCATTCGTATCTGAAATTTTTCTTGTTGGATGAACATCACTTTAGAAAATTCCTGTGTCTTTTTCCAGTTTCTGGCTATAATTAGTTTCGCCGCTATCAAGCAGTGTATTACCAATATTTGCTTTCCTTTTATTTAAGGTAGGCCATCTTAAATGTAGCAGCATCATATCTGGGCTAGTCTCTATTTTGATATTGTCTAGTTTGAATAACAAAGTTCTCACCCAACTCCACAAGGGGGTCACTATTTTACAATTCCACCATATGTGAAGATAGTCCCCTCTTGATTCTATGCATCTCCACAATAGGTTATTGTGATCTACTGATATTCTAGACATTCTAGAAGGTACTAAGTACCATTTATTTATCACCCTATAATGGATTTCCATTAGGTGTATACTGTGCACGTATTTATTTCCCCTTAATTAATGCCCCCTACCATTTTTTTATATCTATGTTAATATGTAGGAGTTTCTCCCAGCTTTTAATTGCTGTTGGATAATTTTCTGTCACCCTAGTATCTAATAATTTGATACTCTTTGAGAATAGTTTTTTTTGTTTCATTATTATTAAATATAGTTTTGATCGCATTATACATGTCTCCCTGATTCATAAAATTATACTTTTTTAAGTAGCTGTTCACTCTTAAATATGAAAAGGCCTCTTGAGGTGAGAGAGACGCTTCACTTCTCAATATATTAAAGGATTTTATCTTATTATCCAAATATATATCTTCTACCTTTATAATATTTCCTTCTTTCCATTTTTTAGAGAAAAAAAAATGTGTTCTATATTTTGGAAACCGATAATCTTGTTTTTAATTTCTAATTTCTTTTTTATCTTTTCCCAAATAGGAACTAAATGATTTAACACATAGGAGGCAGAGTATTCACATATTTTGTTATTCCATACTATATTAGCTAAATTCTTAGTTTGACATATTTTGGATTCTAACCAGAACCAACCCTCTTTATATGTAACTTCTCTCTGCAATATTGCTATATGTGAGATTATCCCCACCTCGTAGTATTTTTCTATATTTTTCTATATTCGGATAACTTAGTCCACCTTTACTTATATGTTTACCCAGCATATCTGTTTTTATCCTGGGCTTTTTGCCTCTCCATACAAAATTAGCAAATGCTGATTTAATCATTTTTAGCCATGGAATAGGATTTGTTAACAGCAACATCCTAAACAAGTATATCCATTTAGAAAGGACATAAGCTCTTAGGGTGTTGACTCTCCCCCACCATGATATTTCTGCTTGGCGCCATTCATTTAGATCTTTGTTGGTATTTTTTAAGAGGTGTAAAAGATTTATTTCCATTAGTCTATTTATATGTTTATTTATTCTAATCCCTAGATATACAAATTATTCTGGTTGAGAGAAGCTATATTTGTTTTGATATTCGGCTATTTTACTTAATTCTACATTTTTGTACATTGCAATAGATTTTGTCATATTTAATTTATAGTTTCATATATTGTTGTATAATTCGATTTCTGCCATTAATCGAGGAAGAGAGTTTTCTAAGTCTTTAACATATAGGAGGGTGTCGTCTGCGTATAGTGATATTTTTATGTCTCCATTAGATATGTTAAGGCCCTTTATTAACTGATTTTGTCATATTTTTAAAGCAAAAATTTCCACTGTAATGATGTATAGGATTGGAGACAGGGGACATCCCTGCCTCATTCCATTTTCTAATCCAAACCAGGTGGAACATATATTTTGGCCTATAGATATTGCTGAAGGGTTAGCATACAAAGCGCTTATCGCATCCAACATCCACCCCTAGATATTGAATGCTTTCAAGGCCTTAAACATGAATCCTCAGCTGACCCTATCAAACGCTTTCTCTGTGTCTAGAGACAGGATCAGCAGGGGATCATTATTTCTGTTCTTAACAAACTTATGAACCAAATTGATGAACTGGTAGTAGGTAGACTAATAATAAGGGGAGATTTCAAACGTATAATGGATCATAAATACGACAGGAATAATATCAAATATCGGGCTGATTTTTAGATTTAAAACTCATCTAATTCAATGCAAATATTTTTGCATAAAAATCAGCTATATGCTTGCTGGAGAGTAAACAATCCAAGGGGACCAGACCATACTTATTTCTCCCAAGTACATCAAACATACACTTGTTTTGATTATTTTTTGCTAAAATCTAATACACTGGATCAAATACTTGAGACAAATACTAAAATAGGCTCAATAAGGTGGTCCTACCACTCCCCCATCTTTGTCTCCCTTAAGAACAAATTGGAATACAAAATTAGAAATAAATGGAGACTTAAAGAAAGTTTGTTAGGTAAAAGTGAAAATATTGTGTCTCTTTCATCTCAAATTCAAGATTTGTTTAGATCAGAATGACAAGGGGTGTACTCTAAAATGTTACTTAAGAGGTCTACTCATAAAAATAGAAACACAAACAAAAACAAAGTATGGAGAGACATTGAGTAATTTGTATATCAAATTAGCTAAACTAGGAAGACACCATAAGGTCACCTTGGACACCTCCACCTTGCTGATATGGTATTATGCCGCTAACCAATCCAGCAAAATCTGTCAGGCTCCCGCGGGCGGCTGCGAGGGGAGGCTGCACTCCGCTCGCAGTACTCACCCTCCAGCCGTCCGCGGTCCCCTCCGCCTCGTGGGTACGGCGAGCGGCATCCTTCCAGCCTCGGATGCCGCCCGCCGTTCCCTCCACGTCCCCCAGCGGCAGCATGCATGACGCTGCACGCTGGGAGACCGCCCAGGTTTATACACGCCGGGGTCAGTCACCTGACCCGGCGTTAAAGGCAAAGTGCCACAATCACAGTGGGAGGTCTAAATATCTCCCACGTGTGATTGTTAATTCTGATTGGAAATCATCCAATCAGAATTAACCTGATGGTTTAAATACTTACCTTTCCTGTTCCTCCTTGCCCTGTTGTGGTCTTTGCTTGCTAGTATTGCTACTTACCTTGTGCTTCTGGTTACGTACTGTCTGGCTTGTTTATCTGACTCTGTGACTTTCTCCTACCCTTTGACCTCGGCTCGTTTTACGTTATTCTGTCTTCTGGTTCCCCTTTACTCGGCTTGTCTCCTGACTATTCTGTGTGTGCTTAGCCCGGCCACTCTAAGGTCCGGTACGGCACCTTTTGTGTGTGTGTGTGTGTGCCAGCGTGTTGGGTTCCCCGAATCGTGACATTACAACAGGGACATAATGGAACCTGCTGACATACCACAGCTCCTAGTTAATCAAGAGGCTAGAATGGATGGCTTGGACCACCGTATGGATCAGTTTGCTCAAGCTTTACAAACCATTCTGGCTCGTACTGCACACTTGCAACCGGCCGTTCAGGAGGCTGCTGCTGCTGTGCCCGAACCCATTCCCACTCCAGTACCTGTTCCCGCTCATGTAGTTCACATGACGCCGCCACAGCGCTACAGTGGTGACCCAGCATTGTGTCGTGGTTTCCTCAACCAAATCGACATCCATTTGGTGATGAATCCACGCTCCTATCCCACTGACAGATCTAAAATTGCCTTTTTGATAAACCACTTGTCCGGGAGAGCTTTAGCATGGGCCAACCCCATTTGGGAAAATACGTCTCCTATGTCCTTTGCTGATTTTCTGACAGCTTTCAGACACACGTTTGATCAACCCGGTAGGGTTGCTTCTGCTGGCAAGGCTCTGCTTAGGGTCCGACAGGGTAACAGGTCTGTAGCAGATTACACTATCGAATTTCGTACTCTAGCAGCTGAAGTGGTTTGGAATAATGACGCCCTCGTAACAGCCTTTCAGGAGGGTCTGGCCGCTTATATACTGGATGAAATAGCATCCAGGGAATTACCTGCTCTTCTAGATGATGTTATAGACTATGTGATTCTTATAGATAACCGTATTAGAGAGAGGCGTAGCCAAAGACGGTTGGATACACGGGTGTTACCTGCTCTACCCAGTACTTCCCTGCTAGCGTTACCCGCTCCTGTGCAGCCATCCCCTGAACCCATGCAGTTGGGTGCTACGGGGTTAACTGAGGCCGAAAGAGCGTACCGTAGAAGGGAGGGGTTATGCCTTTATTGTGGGAAGAGGGGGCATCACTGTAAAGCCTGCCCTAAAGTACAGGGAAACTGCAGCACCTAAGGCCTAGAGAGGGGTCGGCCTCGGGTGTTATGACTTTGTCCCCTCATATGTCCATCTCTAGACCGTTTATTACGGTTTCTCTCTTGGTCAATAAAACCACTATAACAACCAAAGCCCTCATCGATTCAGGTGCGGCAGACAACCTTATGGATGAGACCTTTGCCAAAACCGCAGCCCTGAATTTGATCCGAACGGAGACACCCTTGGCCGTTGAGGCCATAGATGGTAGACCACTGGAGAAACCTCTGGTGACCCATGAAACCCAGGAAATAGTTATGTCTGTGGGTGTTTTGCACAAAGAGAAGTTAACCTTCCAAATAATTGACTCCCCAACAGCCTCCATCGTTCTAGGTTTTCCCTGGTTAGTTAAACACAACCCTGTTCTTGATTGGGGTTGTTTAGACATACTCTCCTGGGGGGAATCTTGTCAGCGAGACTGTGTGGCTCATGTACGTCCTGTCTGTTTACTTAACGTACCCACGGCTAAACCACTCTCGGTTTCTGTGCCCTCTGTTTATGCAGACCTTGCCTTGGTTTTTGAAAAGAGGGAGGCAGATAAGCTACCTCCACATCGTGAGTATGATTGTGCCATAAACCTCTTACCGGGCACTATGCCTCCTAGGGGAAAGGTCTACCCTCTTTCTGAAAAAGAGAACCAAATCATGGAGGAGTACATACAGGAATCCCTAAGAAAAGGTTTTATTAGAAGGTCCTCCTCTCCTGCTGGTGCTGGTTTCTTTTTTGTGGCTAAGAAGGAGGGTGATTTGAGGCCATGTATAGACTACAGGGGTCTGAACAATATAACGGTTAAAAACGCCTACCCTATCCCCCTCATCACTGAGTTGTTTGATCGTGTTAAAGGTTCTAAATTTTTCACCAAATTAGACCTCAGGGGGGCTTATAACCTTGTCCGTATAAAGGAGAATGACGAGTGGAAGACAGCGTTCAACACACGCAGTGGGCATTACGAATATCTGGTCATGCCTTTTGGATTGTGTAATGCTCCTGCCGTGTTTCAGGACCTCATAAATGATGTCCTTAGGGATCTATTGCATGTCTGTGCTGTAGTGTACCTTGACGACATACTTGTGTATTCTCCTGATTTGAAGTCACACCATAACCATGTTAGGATGGTGCTCAAAAGGCTATTGCAGAACGGACTCTACTGTAAGTTAGAAAAATGTTTATTCGATCAGACCTCTGTGCAATTCCTAGGATATATCATTACTGAACAGGGTTTCAGTATGGATCCTGCTAAATTGGAAGCTATAATGTCCTGGCCACTTCCCCAAGGACTAAAGGCTATCCAGCGTTTTATAGGATTTGCCAACTATTATAGGAAATTTATAAAAAACTTTTCACCACTCATATCTCCCATAACGAAGTTGACAAAAAAAGGTCTACATCCTAGGGTTTGGACTCCTGAAGCCCTTAAGGCCTTCGAAACCCTCAAGAAGGCATTTGCCTCTGCTCCAGTGCTGCACCACCCTGATCCTTCTCTTCCCTTTGTTATGGAAGTAGACGCCTCAGAGTCAGGTGTGGGAGCCGTACTGTCACAGAGGTTGTCTTATGACAAACCCCTCCATCCCTGTTGTTATTTTTCTAAAAGGTTGTCTGATTCAGAGAAGAATTATGATGTTGGGAACAGGGAACTATTAGCTATTGTGTTAGCTTTCAAGGAATGGAGGTACTTATTAGAGGGTTCTAGACACAAAATTATGGTTATAACAGATCATAAGAATCTATCATATATTGCTGATGCTAGAAGGTTATCTGCCCGGCAGGCTAGATGGTCTCTATTTCTCTCACGCTTCCAATATGTTATCACCTATAGACCTGGTTGCCGTAATGCCAAAGCTGACGCCATCTCTCGGCAGCATGAACCAGTAGAATTTGTTAACCCGACTCCTGAACCTATTGTACCTGAGTCTCAGATAATAGCTGCTACCCGTTTGGTTGTTTCTTCACCTTTCCTTAACAGTATTAAGACATACCAAACCCAGGCACCCCCTGAGACGCCGGTTGGTAAACTATACGTTGAAGCTAATGACAGAAAAAAGTTGTTAACTTTATTTCACACAGCCAAAACTGCTGGTCATCCGGGGGTTACCAAAACCTACAAGGGCCTCCTTCAACAGTTCTGGTGGCCTTCACTCAAGCGAGACGTAGTGGATTTTGTTCAGGCTTGTCAGGTCTGCACGCAATGTAAGTCCCTTAATGTGAGACCCCAGGGTTTTCTGATGCCTCTATCTATACCCAAGAAACCATGGACCCACTTATCCATGGATTTCATTGTAGACCTGCCTCTTTCTGATGGTCAGACGGTGATACTGACTGTGACGGATAGGTTCTCTAAAATGGCACACTTCATTCCGCTTAAGAAACTGCCTTCTGCGGTTCAGTTAGCTCAGGTATTTGCCAAAGAAGTGTTCCGATTGCATGGGGTACCCCAGGATATCGTATCTGACAGGGGCCCTCAATTTGTCTCTCGGTTCTGGAGGGGCTTTTGTGCTGAGATGGGGGTATCCTTGTCGTTTTCTTCCTCCTATCACCCGCAATCTAATGGTGCGGCCGAACGTGCTAATCAGTCTGTGGAATTGTATTTGCGCTGCTTCACTAATGCGCACCAGGATGACTGGTCTCGCCTTCTTCCGTGGGCTGAATTTGCCAGGAATACGGTGTCTCATTCGTCTACTGGCTTAAGTCCTTTTGAGGTTGCTTATGGGTTTCGTCCTTCTGTCCTTCCCGGTGCGTTCTCCGACAAGGGAATGCCCGCCTTGGACCAGCACCTCGCCTCTTTGCGGAAGACGTGGGATCAAGTCCATGTTGCGCTGTCTCGTTCAGCAGCTGCTCAGAAAAAGTTTGCTGATCGCCGTAGGGTTGCGGCCCCTTCCTATGTTCCGGGTGATAGGGTATGGTTGTCCTCCCGGAACCTCCGTCTCAAGGTTCCCTCGATGAAATTTGCCCCCAGGTTTCTTGGTCCCTTCAAGGTGTTACGTAGGGTTAATCCCGTTTCCTACTCCCTTGATTTGCCTCCTTCCATGCGTGTCCCGAACACGTTTCACGTCTCGCTTTTGAAACCCTTGCTGTGTAACCGGTTCTCTCGTCCCCTCGGGCGGCCCGTTTCCCCTCGAGCTGTCTCTGACGACGTGTACGAGGTGGCTGCCCTTCTCGACTCTCGTGTTTCTAGGGGTCGGCTGCAATATTTGGTGGACTGGAAGGGGTACGGCCCTGAGGAGCGGTCCTGGGTTTCAAGCTCCGATGTGCACGCTCCCTCTTTGGTCCGCTCCTTTCATGCCCGCTTTCCTTTGAAGCCTTCCGCTTCCCACCCCCTGGGTGGTCTTCGAGGGGGGGGTAATGTCAGGCTCCCGCGGGCGGCTGCGAGGGGAGGCTGCACTCCGCTCGCAGTACTCACCCTCCAGCCGTCCGCGGTCCCCTCTGCCTCGTGGGTACGGCGAGCGGCATCCTTCCAGCCTCGGATGCCGCCCGCCGTTCCCTCCACGTCCCCCAGCGGCAGCATGCATGACGCTGCACGCTGGGAGACCGCCCAGGTTTATACACGCCGGGGTCAGTCACCTGACCCGGCGTTAAAGGCAAAGTGCCACAATCACAGTGGGAGGTCTAAATATCTCCCACGTGTGATTGTTAATTCTGATTGGAAATCATCCAATCAGAATTAACCTGATGGTTTAAATACTTACCTTTCCTGTTCCTCCTTGCCCTGTTGTGGTCTTTGCTTGCTAGTATTGCTACTTACCTTGTGCTTCTGGTTACGTACTGTCTGGCTTGTTTATCTGACTCTGTGACTTTCTCCTACCCTTTGACCTCGGCTCGTTTTACGTTATTCTGTCTTCTGGTTCCCCTTTACTCGGCTTGTCTCCTGACTATTCTGTGTGTGCTTAGCCCGGCCACTCTAAGGTCCGGTACGGCACCTTTTGTGTGTGTGTGTGTGTGCCAGCGTGTTGGGTTCCCCGAATCGTGACAAAATCTTAACAAACAAACGAAAGAATTGTCACACGACCGGACCAGGGCAGTTATATGACCACATCTGGCAGGCGCAACCGGGTACCTGCGCCAGGCCAGCACAACTGCATACCCGCGGCTGGCCGAAGTCATCGCGTGTCCATGTCCGAACAGCACAGACACATAGAAGGTATACTTACCTCTTGCCGTGTCTCCCTACGCTCTCCATGCTACATGGCCGGAAGTCGTGCTGGCGTTTCCGCAGGCCGCGATTTAAAGGTACAGACACTGAGTTGATGCTGGTGACACGGACCAGCATGTTGATAATGTAACGATGCACGCACATTTTTGTGTCTCTAGGTCCCCGCAACCAATTGGAACCCTTCTTAGCTTATTTCAACTCACTTTACCTATTGTTTGATGCCCTGTCGTGGTTTCCATTTTGTGGTTTATCCGAGACCGCGTTTATTTCTTGTATTTTCTGGCATTTGACCTTGGCTTGTCTTTGACTATTCTCCCTTCTGATTTGACCCAGACCTTTAGCTTTTTCCTTACGTTTATTCTGTATTCTGTAATCCTGACCTCGACTTGTCTTGTAGTATTCTTGGTGGGTTTAATCCGGCCATTCAAAGGTCCGGTAATATGCTTGTTGTTCTTTTAGCATTTGCTTTCCTTATATTTGCCTGTTGGATCCAGTCTGTCTGTGACAAGAATAAGAGAAATGCCAAAATAGTCCAAAAAAATTGTGGTTAATGGGAAACAGCTTTTAACTCCAAAACAGATTGTTCAAGCTTTTGGGGACTATTACAGATCCCTGTATAACTTTAAAGATAATGTTCAGTCTATAGTCGATATTTCTAACTTTCTAAATAATCTAAAATTAAAATTTATACTTCACTATTGCATATTATTTTTTTCCCTTGTAGGGAATTGGATATTCATACACTTCCCCATATTGTATAGGGGTAAGTTTATCTTGTGTTTTAGCACTCCACTAAGTGAACTCTTTTGGTGGTTTGTTCCACCTGGGTTATCGCGTGGGATAATTTCTCAACCCCTAGGCTGATTTGGCTGGAGATTGAAAAACATGACCTTGGAAAATTAGAACCCTTACATCTGCTTTGGTAAAAAAAGATCCAAATGGTAGAAAGAGCAAGTTTACTCTTACTCAAAACCCGATAATTAGAGATCTGTACACAATTTTTTTTTAATCTAAAGGTTACTGTTTTGAGATTACAAAATTCTCTCTTGTTAAACACGCCATTAGAAACCATAGAGTTGGACATATGTAGTATTAATTTATCAAGTTGGAGAGAAAAGAATATTACATTTCTAAGTGATTTAGAACCATTTAACTTGCTACAGTCTATATTTGAACTCTTGCCTAGAGAAATTCTCAACTATCCTAGATTGAAAAATGTTATTACAAAGAAAATGATTGTAAAGGAGAACCCTTTAACCGATTTTTTTTTTTTTTAAAAAAACAAACATTATAAATGCAAGATCACTTCTAGGGTTTCTAAATTTATTAACCAATTGCAACTGCAAGAAAAAATCTTACCATGGATCATATAGGAAAAGGTTGCATGTTGATTTGGAATATGAGGAGTGGCTGAAGGGCTTAATAATAGTAAAAAAAGAACATGCATAGCAGGAACTTATTAGAAACTCAATACAAACTAACTTTAAGTTGGTATTTAACTCCTACTAGATTATATAAAATTAATTTAAATTTATCACAAATTTGCTGGAGAGGTGAAGTAAACAACGGTTAATTTTCTCATATCTGGTGGGGAAGTCCTAAGCTAAAATTTTTTTATAAAAAACGTAGGAAACGTGTTAGTCTCCTCACTGGGAATCATATTTGATTTATCGCCTCAGACTTTTCTATTTAACGTTCAACTCCCGGGGGGAAATTATACACAAAACTGTCTAATGGTACACATAATGTTATCAGTTAAAATCTGCATTGCACGTAATTGGAAATCTGAAGGTGGTCTATCATGGACAGAAATACTGCAACAAATAGATTACCAACATAGAATGGAGGCAGGCTTTTTACCATGGCCTATTCCAATATGAAAATTATGTGAAGATTTGGGGCCTTTTAGATCTCTATAAATATACTGAGGTAGAGGCAAGATATCTACCTACACAAATTTCTATAAAGACAAAAAAGGTTTCCACAGTGCAGAGATATCCCCACACTGTAGTTCTAACAGTGTATAGTAGCCAACAAGAAAAAAAGAATGGAGTCTTGCGCAATCTGAATTTGAAGTGTATTCCCTGGTGCTACATCTTTAATCCAGAAGGACAAAGTACAACAAACGTTTCAGACAATAGCCCTTTATAATTTCTAATGTCCTCCTTACCATTAGCATTGATAAAGGGCTATTGCCCAAAACATTTGTTGTACTTTATCCTTCTGAATTAAAGGTGTAGCACCAGGGAGTGTATTTTAAATTCAAGTTGCGCAAGACTGTATTCTTTTTTTTCTTGTTGGATACATTTTAGAGAGAGATGCTACGTCATACCCTCATTGAGTATTGCGTTTTGACCCACTTCCACCTTTACCCCCCACTCACACTTTATATTAATGATGTGGGATTTATAATTTACTGTTTATGTTAGTGTTTCAAGTTTTTAATTACATATATTCACTAATTAATATTGGTATATTGAAATTATATCTGGAACACTCAAGATAAAAAATCTCTGTTAAGCTATTTATTTGTGCACCATTTAACTCATATATTGTCTGTAAAATTTAAAGACATTTTATTATGGAAATTTGTACTAAGTATTTGAAATGTATTGCACTGTTGTAAACTGAATGTAATATCATTTGTAATTATACAGAAAACAAAAATAAAATTAAAAAAAACAAAAAAACTTTTAAACAGGCATTAGGGGGACTGCCTGTAGACAGCCATTCCGGCCATGTGATCGTGAGGACCCCATGTTCACATGGTCCAGGAGGGTGGAATCTGCCGGATGGGGACTGCCTGTGAGAACAAAGGACCGCCGGCTGGGGACCCTGTGAGTACAAAGGACCGCAGGGACGTTCTATGCCTCTCTGTGGCATTAAGGACCGTCCATGCAAGGATGGCATAAAATGCCTGCCATCCTTACGCGGCTAACTAATTTGTACCTTAAAAATATTGTTCACTTGCTTTTATACAAGCAAACAATAATTTAAACATGCATCTTTCTGGAAATTGGTGTTTTGTAAATATTCTATCTCCTAACTTTGTATAGGATTTGAATGCAAAAGTACTGATTTTAATCCAGACACCAAATACATGAGTGATTCAGGCTGACCAATTTCTAACCATATTTGGCATTAGTAATCAGTTGCAGTCGGAATTTCTTTATTTTGACTGGATTTTGCCCAATGAATAACCTTATAAAACATCTAGGGAATTTGGGGTGTCAGGGATTTGTGGCCTGAAGCTTAGTATGCAGGAAGAAGCATTCATTTATAAAGACGCCACTAACCAGAAGACCTGTAGGAATAGAAGATGATTAACAACATAGAGGATGTAAATAAAGGAGGTAGAAGTTAAAATTTTTATAACATGACAGGAGGCTTCATATTTGCTTAAGTCTCTCTTTACTAGAACTCTACAGCAGCACAGAGAAAACAACCAATCAGAAAAAAGTTAGGTACTATAAAACTCTGCTCCCCATACATCATTTCCTCTTTCTTTGCTGCTCCGCAGTCAGTACAGGTCAGAGTACCACTGCCTCCTGCTTATAGTGGGTGGCTTTGGGATTTTATTGCTTATATACAGTATTTATGTTTTATATGTCTGGGGATTTGCATATTCTCTGTAACTTTTAACTTACAGTGATCCCTATCTGTTAGGGCATTTGGATTCAGGGGGATCTTTTATGCCTCTTCCTATACCTTTGATTTCCCTCCCCCCCTCTGTATATTCCCCAATTTTTTTGCCTCTGTTTATATATTTTCTGCCCCTTTTTTTATGCGGGCTGTGTATGTGCTGCTCGGTTTGTTGGAGGCCGACAGTCAGCATGCCGCCTCCGCTTTCCCCGAGCTCAGGGACCACGGAGTCGCCTCAAGCGTTCCGGTGTATCTTCTGCCAGTCTCGGGGGTGCTCGTGATCGAGCACGTGTACCCGACGGCCGGACCCTTTCCTCCCACAGCCGCTTTGCAGCGGCCGACTCCGACACCGGACCACATGTGTCCGACCGGGTGGGGGAGGGTGCGCTTCCTCGTGGCCCCCCCCGCTTCATTATAATTTATTAATATTGCAATTTACCCGTGTCTTTTTTGGCATTATACAAATTATTCATAAGAATGCAATGAATAATTTAACGTTTTAAAAACAAACAAACTTAGGTTTGTTTTAAGTTCCGGCATTTGATGAAAATCCCCTTCTGCAATAAGCCCTCTCTGAGGCGGCTGAAATATTTCAGGCAATTCTAGCCATGCCGGACCACATGTGTCCGACCGGGTGGGGGAGGGTGCGCTTTCTCGTGCCCCCCTGGCTATACCCCCTCGTGGAGGTCTGAGTGCAGGAATCTTCCCTGCTGGATGCCAGAGTCTGCTATCTGATATTAGAGGCATCTGTGAGGTCCTGTCCGGTGAGGCATCCCTGTGAGGTGAGATGACATCCTATAAGGTTAGATTACATTGCAGATCTAGAGTTGTAATTGTGATGTTGGATTACATTGTAGATCTAGAGTTGTATTGTGATGTCAGATTACATTGCAGGTATAGAGTTACAATTGTGATGTTAGATTACATTGTAGGTCTAAAGATGTAATTGGGATGTTAGATGTGAGATGTGATGTTAGATGTTCGTGGGTTATCATGTCCTGCGCGGGAATTCCTGTGACGTTTTATTTCATCCTGTGATATCATGTCCTGTGATGCAACCCCTGGGACATTGTGACACATCCTGCAATATCAGGTCTGCTGTTGGGATCCCTGTGACGTTATAACATCCTGCGATGTCAGGTCCTGTGAAATAATCCCTGGTGGCGGTCCGTGAGGACCCTTGCCACCCTACATCTGGCTTTGCACCAAACTGGTCACCATAGCACCCCATTCTGTGTCCCTTCTGACTGCCAGATTCTCTAACTAGCACCATTAGGCACTTTTTACAATACAAGAAGGTTTGGTAGACTGAGTTTGGTTAACTCCTAGTTACCCTCAGGATTCGATATCTCCATATAAGGGGGCTCTACCCACGCAGATTGGTCTCCTGACGATCAGAACACAACACCTGTGACTGGCCTGTTATGTCTGTGCCCAATTTACTGGCCTGTTATGTCTGTGCCCCATTGATTGGCCTGCTCTGTCTGTGCCCCATTGATTGGCCTGCTCTGTCTGTGCCCATTTTATTGGCCGACGTGTCCAACCCGAACCCCTTTTGGTTGCAGGCCTGGGGGAATATTCCTGAGGAAAGCCCAGTGCCCACTATTAACACGGAGATAGGTGGGTGTCCAGTTAAACACTGCTGTCAGACTATCCGAGGTGACACCTAAGTATGATTGGAAGAGTGAAGGCCCTTGACCTCATGCCCTGAGGGGCGAGGTTTTCTACGAAGATTTCCAGGCGGTCAACCAGGGTTTGCACCAGCCCGGCAGCGGCATATCTCCAAGGCGAGTTTCGTTCCGATGCACATACAGGGACCAGTGCTCAGATGCCAACAGGGGAGCACGGTACCCCTTGACTCTTAGCAACTAATCCTTTAGCTGCATATCCGGTATCCATTTAGGTCTAGGTAGTTCTTTCTACGCCATGCTTAGTTCTGGTCTATTACTTTGCTTTCCTGTCCATTACTTTACCTTTCCTCAACGAGGTATGCACTGTCCTTTATCTGAACCTTGGTTTGTCGTTTCTTTGTTTCGTGTCTTCCACTTTTCCTCTCGCTCGAGTCATGACTTGGCCTAGTCCAACTTCCCAGGCTCTCGTGGATCGCGGAGAACGTCTCCAGCATTTCCTCAGAAACCGTGCACGGGATCCAGGTGGTCGTTTGTAGATTCCGTATTGTTTCTAACCATTAGACACATGGACACGGCCCTAGATGGGAGTGCTACCCCGACCATTATCGGGATTATTTATTCCCAGTTTGAGACTAGATTTACAATCCTCGTTTACAATCAGTTCAGGACTGATATGGACCCTGGTTTGTGTGGTAAGAGGGTGCGGTCCTTTTATACCTCAACTCGAAACCAAGGTTAATTTACAGGATTAGAGGGGACCACTTCCCTTATGCAGAACCTGCCACTAAACCTTTCTATTAGTGGGCGCAACCCTCCCCTAACCTTGGCTGGAGGATGATATCGATGCATATTGCAGGTGCAAAGTATATCCCATTCTCATATTTGGTGCAAGACACTGACAGTGACACTAAGTGTATTATTGGACGGTACGGCCCTCTCTCAAAGGCTGGGATACAGTTTACATTATTTGAGAATGCGGCTCTCTCATACACTCAGCTCGATACTGAGCTCCCTTAATGTGCACAGACCAAGATAATCACTTATAATGTTCTTCAGTTCACCACGTGCATGACAGTTTCTTACAGTACTGGATTCTGCTTCCCTTCTTTGTGAGCGAACCTGTCATTTGACACTACCCAACAGGGTTATTTATCCTACTGTTGACCCTTGTTCATCCTATGGATTTAGATCAGTACAGGACACCGGGGTCTTCGTAGAGGGACGGCCCGCCTACAGTCAACTCAATTCAGAGGTCTGTGCTACCTACGTGGTTTACCGCTGATGCTACAGCTCTTGCTATAAGGACTAAGGCTACCTCATCGGAATGGCGAGGAGACACTGCTTAGCAATGACGATGTAAGAGGAGAGAACACCTCCATTAGATCTAACAACCGTGCTACTATTTTTGTATGGCGGCACGGCCTGATCGGGCATGGTATTACAGGTCTGAACTAGCTGTCACCATTTCATTCCTTATGATTGGTCTGCTGGACCCACACCACTATATCCCCGCTAGGGATATACTCACTGAGGTATTACTGGGGGTGATTCCCCACCTCATTTACCCGCCCCTCTGATGCTGTTTGGTTATGACTGTCTCGGTACAGCTCCTACGATTGGTACACCTTGTGGGTACCCTATACCTCCCTGTTGTATCTACTCCTGGAGGTTGTACGACTGGTGGTGAACCCCAGCTATTACAGGTGTGTAAGTTTTGATATAGCCGACATGGTACAAAACAAGTAATGCACCCTGGTTCGGCTTTTTCACACACCATTTTGGACACACTGACCAGACAGTTTTCCCCTATCAAGAGTAGCATGTGATTTTGAGGCCTTCATAGAGCATACGTACACTACCTTTACTCAGCGGGAATGGGGGAAATCCCACACCCTGGTCTGCAGATACTATGTACGCATTGATCAAAAGAACGGAGTTCCCAGTCGAGTCTGGATTCCCTAGCGGTTGACGATCCTGGGATAGGTGACAGGACTGCCCCTACTCCTCTGAGAACGTATCTGGAGAACACGGTTAGGATAGAGGATTCTCTTTCTATTCGCTAGTTCCCTCACGGGATCCATTCTGGTTTTGATTATCGCTCACCCGCCTATTCAGATACTGTCAAGGAGGACTGCTCCGACTCTACAGGGGAACCCTGTTTGAAAGCTAATCCCACATGAAGGTCACAAAGTCGGGATGCACCCTCCCACTGGAGTACTGCCCGGGAACGATGTCGGGTTTGAATCGGACTACCCGACATTCTCTACCTGGAAAGCCCCTACTTCGGACAGCTGGAACAGGATCGTATAAGCAGTTTATTTGGATTGTGCCACTCTCTCCCTCATCAGTCGACAGTCTCGAGGACGGAGGTTCCTGATCCAGAACTGCCAACTGAGACCGATTCGGTTTTTCTCCAACCAGCCTACTCTAGCAGGTGTCAACGCTCCTTCGTCTATGCAGGTCCCAATTACACCTTGGATCTGGACCACTTTTCACTCATCAACGTGGATACAGTTGGATAGGATTCTCAATTACTGACTACGTTCCCCTCGTTTTGGTATGTTTGGGAGTTGAACACCGTTTTGCTACACAAATTTAGTTTGGTCTCCTGATAGGATGTACCTTGGGAGTACTTGGCCTACCACAGTCACAGGTTCTGCAGTCCACTTGGAGTACTGGAAACACATCATAGACGACTGGTTTGGCCTGCACTCTTACCAGCATAGTTATCTCCCCGGATGAGACCACTCGACTGGTAGAGGATGAGGGAATGAAAAGACCCTATTCGGTTCGGTGACGGAATTGGTGTTGGTCTCAGGCACCTTACTGGAGTTTGGAGTTTGCCGGCAAGACCACATTTCCAGGTGACCCTGGCACGATTGGAGGAGCCATCTCCCACATCGAGGGTTGAGACCTGGTAGTAGCCTTTTGTCACGGTTTCAGATCTGCAAATGATCTTCGGAATTTTGCATCCACAGGAGCTGTGATGAATAGTTCGACTTTGCAGGTCATGGATTGTCCGGGAAGGGGTCTCATCCCCAAGTATGGTCTACCAGCGGATTGAGTGTTTTCCGTAATTAGCGGTTCAGCGTCAGCTGGCATCTTCATCGACCCATCAGCTGTCACTTCTCGCGATTGGAAGGCTCATTTGGTTTTTGCTCTGTTTTCTCCCAGAACAGGTACCAGCGAAACAAACAGCGTTGGATTTGTTGACTGAGCGTTAAAACAGCAAATATGAAGCCTCCTGTCATGTTATAAAATTGTAGATTATGCTAGCTTTAGTGTACCTATAATCTTAATTTTATTAATGACAGGAGGTGAATATTTCCCTCCCATTCTTATCCCTCCCTTGTTTAACTTTAATGGTTTGGGTTCATTAGGAAGGTATGCAACTCTGCTTGTTGTCTCTGCTACCTGTCTACCTGTTTTTATGTCTGTTTTTTCCACGTAAGGGCTGGGATCTATGCGTATTAGGGTATTTCTGGTTATTTCACTGGGTGCCTTTATGTATTGTTCAGAGTACAGTTCGTTGGCTAACAAATCTGTTCGATTCTGTTTTCTCTCGTTTCAGCTTACAGTCCATCAACGCTATCTGGTTTGACAGTTCTTCTCGGATGGTGGACGTTGTTGTTTTCATTGTATCTAGGACTTTGTTTTTTCTCCATTATATGTTCTGCCTTTTGTTCTGTTTTTGTCGCAGCTTAAAAGAGGAAATGATGTATGAGGAGGGGAGTTTTATATTACCTAACTTTTTTCTGATTGGTTGTTTTTCTGTGCTGCTGTGGAGTTCTAGTAAAGAGAGACTTAAGCAAATATTCGCCTCCTGTCATTAATAAAATTAAGATTATAGGTACACTAAAGCTAGCATAATCTACAATTAACAAGGTAGAAATGAGCAACACTACTTAAAAAGTAATCACATTTTGAAAACAAAATTTATTTTAACCATGTCCCAAAAAAATATGTATTTATCTTAAAGGACCACTAAAGTCAACAAAGCCACTCAGTGAAGGCTCAATGAAGTGGTCTGGGTGCAGTGGTCCTGTATGTTTAACCAGGCAAGGTAAACCACTGCCGAAAAGTAGTTTTACTGAAAGGGCAATGTTTGTCATATAGCAGTAAACATGTCTCTAGTGGCTGTCATGCTGTCATACTAACAGCTACCAGAGGTATTTCCACTGCTCTGAACTGCCATGTAATGCGGCAGCTCATTGAAAAGGATTGGATTTAATGTTTTCCTATAAGAGGCATTTGGTGGATACGGCACTCATCGCAGTTAGATCCACTATGCTCCTCTATAAGGAGTCTTGGATTGGACCATTGGTGGAGGAAGCCATGCCTCCTCGATGATATCACAAGAGGTGGAATAGTGAGGCGCACTGAGAATTTCTTTGTGCTGGAAAAAGGTGACTAAAGCTTTTCAATGGAAAAAAGTGAGGGACATGTATAATACTAGAGACAGGAAAACTGCAAACTTATATTCCTAAGGAACCTAACAGAGAAAAAGCAAGAACAAACTTACTTTGGCAATTTGTTACAGCAATGCTTCCAGGGTCTCTGGGAATTTCTACCCCAATATTTGACCTTTAATTGGAAAAAAAAATAATAATAAATATTTTAATAATATACATCGCATTTTAATAAAATAAATGTATAGGATTTTTTGTTTGTACTTCTTTTTTGATAAGTTTAACAGTGCTATATAAAGGTAAGGTGAGCATCATTATTGATGAGTAACTGCGGTTGGATTTGCAGCAAATGCAATAATTTCACAGGCGAGTATCAGTTTGTTTTTTAATTTATTGTTTTGCATATATTTTAATGCAACATTTATTAGCCAGTCACAATAGCCATAAGCAAAAATAATTTCAGTCTGTTATTAAAGGGAGAGATACGCTGTTAGCCTTCATTTTTTTTTATTATATTCTTTATTTTTGTTGTGCATGAAGATTCAGTTATGCTTGCAATGCCCCAACAGCTTGAGCAAGTATGTCAAAGAATATAGCATAACAGTAGTAAGGCATTCAAGAGGTTTGCACATTTTCAGGATGAAAAATATAATAAAAAGGCTGATATCTTTACACTAGACTTCAATCACCGACCAAATGATAGGTACAGCACTAAACATGTTTGGTATGGGGTCATGATTCTGAATTCATCATGTGGCGCCCGAAAAAGAGATAATTCATGGGAAAAAAATGATGAATGATAACTAGGGGACAGTCAATAAAAGTTGATTTTATTCAAGAAAGTGAGTGAGATGTGAGGAATGGATGGACAAAAAACTCTCTCTATATTTTATATTCAATAATTAATAACTAATTTTACTGCTCTTTTTGTTTTTCCCTCTGTTGTTACACATTTGCATAAAGGAGAGCACTCAAAAGTCTTCACTGATAAGGATACATTTTTGCTGTTATTGCAGTCACTGTTTCATTTCTCAGACATGGATGTTTTTCAAGACAAAATACCCTGTTGCTCATTGCTATTGTTTACTCTTGATGGATTAATAAAAGGAATTTCCTTTATCCTAGGTGGGGGAAAGGACTCTTTCTGGCATATACCTTTGGGGCTCTGTGATTTATTTGTTTCACTAACACACTATAACTAAACCATTTTAAAGTAAACGGTAATCTTCAAGATTTCTATTGATCTCAAAAAAGTGTCTTATGTTCAGACTGTTAGAGAACCAGGCTGTCAGTTTCCTTGAAGACTCTGTACCCTGACAACTCAACCTGAATGTAATCAATCATGGGGTACATATAGCGGAGGAAAGGGTTTGTAGCATGAGAAACACACTAAAACCTCATTTTTTCCTAATAGTTTTACCTTCAAAAGTCACTTGAAAAGTCAGACAACTTCCTCCAGGCTAGAAAAAAATATTTAAATATAATACAGGAACTATGATTTTATTTATCATGCTCCAAAAAATACTTACTTGGTAAAAATAGTCTTTTCTGATTTGGTAAGATATGAATGATGATGGATTTTGGACCTCATTGAAATTAGTGCTTCACATGGTACATTTGGAGGTTTGATGCAGTAGAAAAATTCACCATCTCTTTTATCTGCATACACACATTTTTCTTGTTGTGATTCTAAATAAAATCCACAAACTTTCTCAATCTCCTGAGTTTTATAGAGAAAATTTCCAGTGAAAATAATATTTTTATATCCCGCATTCCGAGCTCTCCATAAAGCAGACACGCCCTCGCTTGGATGATACAAAATAACTGATATTTTCACATTCCCTACCCAAGATAGAATGAAATGGATGTTATAGGATCCATTATTGAAATCTTCAACCCTTCCGGAAGCTGCAGCTCCAAGATCGGTGGAATAGATCCGTGCGGTTAAGAAATCTCCTCCATATGTCTTCCTTTGGCCCAAATAGTTGAACATATCCACACGGACAGTTAAAGAATCTCCATTGCAATACTGTTGTCGGTAAGATAATATCTTTGCTCTGCTCATTTTTGCACTTGTTGTTAGATTCAAATGTCTGAAAGGGACACTCGAAATATTGTTACTTATGGTATTAAAAATCTGGTTTATTTCCATGTCCTTCTCCTCGGAAATATATTTTATATTGGATTCATAAGAGTCTCTGAATGTAACATTGTGTTCTGAATATGATATTTGAAGAATTTGAGGTTTAAAAGACTGTGAGGAGAAAACCAATAAAATAGTTATTTATTGATTAAACTCTCTCTTCTTTAACTTTATATTTGAAAGAGTAATCGTTGAATAAACATACCTGGAGTAATATTCGATGATATGTGAAACTTAGCTTTAGAACAACAATCAGTGAAATAACCAAAATGATTTTATAGCCTTTTGTCGTACAGTAGGACATGTTCCTAGTTGTAAAAGAGAGAATGGGATTATTTATTATTAATTCACTTATTTAATAATCAGCTGAAAGATGCATGAATAAAAAATGAAAGTAGTTTTCTATACCAGCACTAAAACAAAAATATAATAATTGCATTGGGGACAATAGTTAAAATGCATTAACTGATTGTTGTGGATATGCTCAATAGTCAGTTCAAGACATGGCAGGACTGTCACAACAAGGGATTTGCCAAACGCTGGTTGCAATTGGGTTAAGAGCGTAAATGTTGTTGAAAATAAATACATAGATTTATATGCTATATACACTGATCAGCCACAACATTAAAATAACATTGATTTTATTGGAGGTTCATATTATGCTCTCTTTTTCTTTACTTAATTATAGCAGCAAAGATAATTAGTAAAATTAAACAGATTTAACCCCTTAAGGACACATGACATGTGTGACATGTCATGATTCCCTTTTATTCCAGAAGTTTGGTCCTTAAGGGGTTAAAAATACACACAAACTCACATCAACGAATAGCCAATCAGGTTACAGACTAGGTTACAGGTACTGCTGACAACGATCCAAGGTCCTCTTTCTTTGCAACCAAAACAGGTTCGTAGTCCCATAAAACGAAACAATTCAAATGATGTAAAACGTGAGAGAATAATAATAGAACAGAAATTCTGAATCAGGTTACAGAGTAGGTTATAGGTACTGCTGACAACGATCCAAGGTCCTCTTTCTTTGCAACCAAAACAGGTTCGTAGTCCCATAAAACGAAACAATTCAAATGATGAAAAACGTGAGAGAATAATAATAGAACAGGAATTCTGAATCAGGTTACAGAGTAGGTTATAGGTACTGCTGACAACGATCCAAGGTCCTCTTTCTTTGCAACCAAAACAGATTCGAAGTCCCATAAAACAAAACAATTAAAATGATGAAAAATGTGAGAGAATAATAATAGAACAGGAATTCTAAATCAGGTTACAGAGTAGGTTATAAGTACTGCTGACAAAGTCATCTTTCTTTGCTGCTCCTGAACGGGAACAGATGAGTATTAGCTATATATTACGGATATTTTTATTTCTGGTTTATAAACTCAGATTTTGAACTTGTTTATGAGTCAGAAAAAGAAAAATCATTCCATAATTCCAATACATACATGTAAGAAATTCTGTCATTATGTTTTGTCATTTAATATAATTATTTATTTAACTATTACGTTCACTATGTTCACATGTAATCATTTCTTTCTGAATTTTTTTACATTTATGTATTGGAATTGTGGAATGATTTTTCTTTATCTGACTTTCCTGTCAGAAGTTATTTCAGTCTCACGCACTGCAAATTTGCCGCAGTTTGTGAGTTTGGGGTGTTTGAAAAACATAGTTAAACATGCGAATCATTGCATTTGTGACTTGTAATGTTTTCTATACAGTACAACTACAGCTCATTATCATCTTTTCATTCAGTTTAATTTTTTAATTGTGTGTTCAAAGAGCAAATTTCTCTTAGTCTTCCCTACAGTGTCTTGTGTTGCTAGGCAACACTGTCCTTTCAGTGGATTTCAGTTGAGGCAAAGCTAGTCTGTTTTTAATTGTGCTCTGGATATTTAGTAAAATTATTACAGAAAATATTTATTTCAGATAATTATTTCTGTCAAAAAATTTTTATATTTACCTTACAGATCATTAGTATTTTATTTAATTTTAAAGACGTGTTCGATTAATAATTTATCTGGATAAAATTTTGCTTATGTTTCAAGACAAGAACACCCTTTCATCCCACGTTCAATTGACGTTAGGTCTTCTCTCAAATTTAGGATTTGGTTCTATTTTGGTTCCATCTCAAAAGCATGGGATATTTTTTTTTTATCATGTTTGATAAAGAGCTTTGAGACTGAGTGGTTAGGGCAACCTTTGATGATGTTCCGACAGTGCTCTGCCAGTCTAATTTTTAGGCATCGACCACTAGATGCCTAAACATTAGACTGGCAGAGCACTGTCGGAACATCATCAAAGGTTACCCTAACCACTCAGTCTCAAAGCACTTTATCAAACATGATAAAAATCCCAAACATCTAAAATGTATTGGAATTAAAAAATGTAAAATACCGTGGAGTGGAGGGGATTTAAAAAAAACTTTTGGATCAGAAAGAAATGTATTGAGTGTTCCTGTTAAAAACACTTGCCCCTGAAGGTTTAAACGTTGATTTTGATCTTTTTAACTTTTTATAAATTTGCATATTCTGTTTTGTTTATAATGTGATATATTATTATATAATACTAATGTTATTTTATTTTACTTTATTCTTACCCTATATTTACATGTTCTCTTTTAAACCTTCATATATGAGTTAAAAAAAATATAGGCATATATATATATTTGAATACAATTTTGCAAGAAAAAGGCATCATATGACACATATCCTTTTTTTTTCTTTTACCCCTATTTATTATTATTATTGCCTTTGCCTGCGCATTTTTCTCTTTATTTAAAATTTTCTGTAATATTCTGTGTTTCTTCATATTCATTTTTTTCAGTTTTTTTTACAGTTTTTATCTTTTATTTTATTTTACCTATTATTATTTTCTGTTATTTATATTATTTTTTATTTGTTATCAAACATTTCTGTGATTTTTCTGTGACATTTGCAATTTACTGTGACCTTTTTATATTTATTATAATTTTCTATCATATTTTAAAATGAGCACTTGCTACTTGTCACATATATGTTTTATTCATTCATTCCCCCCTTCCACTTTCTTTCATTGCCCTCCCTAATATGGCTGACACATGTTTCATTGCCCTCCCTAATATGGCTGAAGCATGTTCAATAATAAAGTGATACACAAAAAAAAAAAAGTGGTCATGAGCTCCTGACGTCATTTTTGCGCCATAATCAAGTAATCTGAGGCCTATATAAAGCCAGTGTTGTCATGTACATGTTTTTATCCACTAGGGAAATTCCTAAAGGTAGAAACACATTGTGGTATTTTATTTGCTGTATTTTATTAAAGTTATTTGGCCACTTTCAACTTGTGAGTCAGCCATTTTATTTATTTATTTATTTATTTATGTTTACCTTTATTTTTACATGGCACGAGAGTTTTTATTGTTCCAGTGAGAATTTTACTCCAAAGAATCCTTGGTGGGGATTATACTACTCAAACTTTATTCATTGAGCAGACTGCCTGCGCAATAAAATGTGAGTAGCCACTTAGTATTTTATTATTTCACCTCTGGCTTTTATACAATAAGCACTATTATTGCTTCTTTTATATATCATATGATCCTTATACCAACAAGATATCCATCTACTAAAAAACGTCACGTATCCCATAAGTGGGGATTGAACCACTGTTTGCCATCCAGAGTAGAGCTAGTTTTATAGCTCTGGAAAATATGAGTAGGATCATATAGACCTCTTACAAAATAGTACTTAGTACCTGTTGGGATAAACTGCACCATTATTTGTGATCTTATTATTTTTGTCATACGGATCTCATGAATATCCCATGCCCATACCTTACTGAGGGATACTTCACCTGACAAGATTATGATTGACTTCTTATACAAGGGGTTTTTTTTTTGGACTTTTTGCTGTATTTATCAGGCATAAACTCTTTTGGACTTACTTTTTGGACTCCTGATTATTATTAATTATCTATATTTCGAACTCTTTTTGTTATCTTATATGTATTCTCTCTTATGTAGTGTCTTTCATATATGCTTGTACAGTTTATAAGCAGGTTTTTTTTCACCTGTGGTGCCCCCTCCCCCTCCACCTTTTTTATTTTAGATTTTTGCCTCATATGTTCAAATCAGGGAATGCTTATCCAACTATTAATCTTTATAGATCAGCAATTTCAGCAAGTCAAGATGGATTTTTAGGTTCTTCCACTAGAAGGCATCCACAAATATGCCATTCAATGAAAGGCATTAAATATCTAGATATTCTTACATTTGGGATGTTAATATAGTCATTACCTTCTTTGACTCATAGCCAGATTATGATGAACTCACTCTTCGCCAATATTCTGGAAATCTAGTTACTTTATTATGAATCATTTCCTGCAAATGTGTTTCGGATGTTCATGCCTTAGATATAATTGCAAATGTTTACATCCCAGAAGGAGTTCGTTTTAAAATCTCACAGAGAACTGAAACCAACTTTTCTTCAGTATTTTATCCGGATTTTCCTCAACTACCTTCACTTTGTCCTGTAATGTGTCTAAAAGAATACAAATATCGTACTTCATCTCTCCGGAACCCACAACTCCCACAGCTTTTTATATCTTTTCAGAAACCCCACAAACCCATTTCTACCGTAATTCTACCTCCTTGGGTCAAATGGTCTTTGGACTTCACTGGGATTGACATTTCTACTTTTGGTTTACATTCTACTCGCGGTGCAATGGCTTCAAAAATATTTACATCAGAAGGTAGATTGGAGGATATTAAGAAATCCGCTGATCGATCTAACGAGTCCACTTTCAGATATTTGTATTTTAAACCGATTTATCATAGTTCTTCTTCCATTATTTCTCAGCTTTAAATGAGCATAATATGCTCCGTGTCTTGTAATAAAATGAATTGATTTTGCTAAAACATGACGTAAAGTCATGATTTTATTAAAGACACAGAGGCAAGTATTATCCCACCCAATTTATTTATTGATATATAGTCTGTTGTATCTATAATTCTGTACTATATATAATTGATTGTGATTTTTATATACAACATGATTGTATTCTAATGTATACATAATTCAATTCATACTTAAATGATGTTTATTACATTAATTTATATAAATGTACTAATTTCAATTTATCTTTCAACCACAGTGTAATTCTACTCTGAATTTCAAAGTTTGTCATCACACCTCCTGGTACCCAATTCTTATGGTTTCATGAGGATTATTCCTGCATTCAGAATTCCTGTTTTGTTATTATTTTCTCATGTTTTTAATAGTTTGAATCTTTTCACTTTATGGGACTATGAACCTGTTTGGGTTGCAAAGAAAGAGGACTATGGAACGTTGTTAGCAGTACGTATAACGTACTCTGTAACCTGACTGACTATTCATTAAAGTCAGTTTGTGTGAATTGTTAAATCTGTTTCTGTTCATTTCACTAATTGTCTTTGCTGCTATAATTAAGTAAAGAAAGAGAAATCATAATACCTGCCTCCGTGTCTTTTATAAAATCATGACTTTACATCACGTTTTAGCAAAATCAATGAATTATTTTATTACAATAGTAACTGTCAAGTGGTGAGATATATAAGGCAAAGTGCAAAGTGAACAGTCAGTTCTTGAATTTCATGTGTTGAAACAGGAAAAATGGGAAAGCAAAAAGATCTGAGTGACTTTGACAATGGCCAAATAGTGATTGCTAGACGACTGGGTCAGACCATCTTCAAAATGGCAAGTTTTGTAGGGAGTTCCTGGTATTAGGTGGTTAGTACCTACCAAAAGTGGTGCAAGGAAGGACAACTAGTAAAATGGCATAAGGTCATGGGGACCAAAGGCTGATTGATGCATGTGGGGAGCAAAGGCTAGTCTGTCAGGTCTGATCACACAGAAGAGCTACTGTAGCTCAAATTGCTGAAAAAGCAAATTGGTGATAGAAAGATGTCAGAACACACATTGAATTGTAGACCGATCCGAGTGCCCATGATGACCCCTGTCCACCACATAAAGTGCCTTCAATGGGGACTTGAGCATCAGGAATGGATAGTGGAGCCTGGTTTGATAAATCATGCTTTCTTTTAGTTCTAATGAATGGCTAGATGCGTATGCGTCTTTTATCTGAGAAAGAAATGGCAGCAGGATGCACTGTGGGAAGAAGGCAGGCTAGCAAAGGCAATGTTATGCTCTGGGCAATGTTCTGCTGGGAAACCTTGGGTCCTGGATACATGACACAGACCACCTGCCTAGTGATTGTTGCAGGCCACGTACACTCCTTCATGACAATGGTGTTTTCCTGATGGTAGTGACCACTTTCTGCAGGATAATGCACCCTACCACACTGCAAAGAATTGATCAGAAATGGTTTAAGGAACATGACAAAGAGTTCAAGGTGTTGCCTTGGCCTCCAAATTACCCTGATCTCAATCTGATTAAGCATCTGTGTGATGTGCTAGAACAACAAACCCGATCCATGGAGGTCCCGCCTCGCAATTTGCAAGATCTGCTGCTTATGTCTAGGTATCTGATACTACTGGACATATGCAAAGGTCTTATGGAGACCATGCATGATGTGTCAAAGCTGTTTTGGCAGCACAAGGAGGACCTACACGATATTTGGCAGGTGGTTTTAATGTGGCTGATCAGTGCACTCCATTGTTTCAGTGCATCAAATCAATCTAACTGGTCATATCAGTTTTGTGTAACACTTGGGATTGTCTGACTGCAGTGATTGTAAAATGTTTGTGATTTTTTTATATTACTTCTAGGGTTATGGTAGGGTAGTTACTAATCCTAGTGGTGGCTTTCTTCACTATACTGTAGCAGCTTTGAGCAAGGTGCTTTCATGTCAGATTTTATTTAATAAAATCATGCATGCTTTGTAGAGTTTTTCGCTTCAATGTTTTTCTGTTTACTTACTATATCATTTATAAAAAACATATTCTCCACTCAGCCCTTCAACCCTCAGCTCTTTGTCATATTCAACTGACCTCTGTAAAGCATTTAAGATTTATAAGAATGGGGGGACGGGGCCTGACTGCCTCACGGGTCAGATTCATCTCGTCTGAGCTCCCGCGTTTGTCGTCTGATATCCGAGGCTAACGGCGAGCCACATGTTAATCTTGACCCTAATTCCTTGTGACGTCGAAGCCAGTGAACCCAGAGAGACCTCACTCAAGCTTGTACAAAGCGGAATTGCTGGACAAGGAAACGGAGGCCTACTGGAGCTTGAGCTGGGGTGAGATGGTCACTTCCTCAGTCCGACCAGCGCCTGGCTGTCTCCCCTCCCCTTTGGACCGGTGGGGGATATCCCGGTACCCACTGGAGGACAACCCTACTGGCTGCAGCCTTCCAAAAGCTACAATAATGCAGGCCCTGAACAGGGAAGACCACCCCAAGATGGAGGACATGCTACAACTACGCATGCTGGCAACTAACACGACCACATGAGACACATCGGAGCAGGTACAGCAACGCCTGACCGAGATTTTTAAGAGATTCTGGGCCACGCTTCTACCACACCTCGAGACAGATACGGTAGAGGGCGAAGACGGGAGAAAAACAGGCTCCTCCAGGGTGCTCCTTCCACGATGGTGGTACAATCACCCACGTGGGGCCCACCCAGGCTGAAGACCAACAAGGAAATGATCCCAGTGCCTCAACCACACACGCGGAGGATCCATCACTACAGGCAGCTAGAGACCATCAAGATCCATTGCCTTCCCCCTACAGGGAAGTACTCGGTCTCCAACGAGAGCTCCAAAGTTCTTGGTCAATGGATGCAGGCCTTCGTGTCGGCCTGGGGCGATGAGATGGCCCTGTTCGGACTCAGTCTCTTCATGCAACTCACCTCCCCTCACCTACCACCTAGCAAGGGCATCAGCTGACCCAAGCCCCCAGATAGATAACAATTGGATTTACTTAATGGACTGCCCTAATACATGCTCGCCTTCCCAAGTTTTTCCCTCATGCTGATATCCATACTATTTGATTTCCTTACCCTCGTTGCAAATATGATGGGCCACAGTTCTAGCATACCGATATCATGTTTGCAGTGCCTGCACTCTCTCTTTAGTCAGTCTGTTATCCATTTGTTTGGGGGGGGGCACAGCCATCCCTGGTGGTCCGGTGGTGGTAAGTATGTAGGAAAGGTTCTGGCTACAGCTCTCCTGTCTATACAATGCTATCATCTCAATAAAAGAAAGATTGACAAAGATTCACAAGAGTGATAGTGATATGAACATCAACAGTGAAAAAGATTAATGCAATAGATTATATGATATCATCATTACAAAGTAAAATGGAGCAGCACTCATTTTCTATTTCCAGTTCTCCTTCTTTTATTAACACAGTGCACAAAAGGTTAAATATACACAGACCTTTTTCAACATAAGAACGCTCAGAACAATATAGATGTTTAAATACATAACTAATAAAACTAAACCATAAAACCCTTTCAGTTAACATAAGACACACCTTTACAAACATACTAATCTTTAGGTTAAACATTTATAGTAACAGTACTAGACTTTCAATTAAAAGAAAGGGATACATAGGTATCAAAAATGTTTTGCTTAATGAACAGTTGTGGTACACAGATCATGCCACCGTTGTCTCACTGCTCAATTCTCTGCCATTTAGAAGTTAAATTTGTTTCTGTTTATGCAGTCCTAGCCACAACTCCCCTGGCTGTGACTCACACAGTCTGCATTAAAAAATGGTTTCCATTTTCAATCATATGTTAACTTGCTTTGGAAGTTTTTATCTCCTGCTCTGTAATTTAAACTTTAATTACAATCACATCAACTTTTTACAGAAGACCCCTGCAAAGTCCAGCAGGCAATGAACAGAGCAAGCGATAAGGAATTATAAAGTAAACAGAAAATGCTATGAAGGAAATATATATAAGCTCACCTGCCACGTAAAGGCAAGCCTCAAAAGGTGAGTCCTACTCTAGCAATTAGAATTTCCAATAAGACAGGAATGGTTATTTTATAAACCCTTTCACATTTAACCCTTTATAGGGCTTCTACACATACAATAAACTTTGCTGGTATCAGACAAAGTGTAAACATCTCTAATGATATCAGCATATCTAATGGCTAGAGTAGGACTCACCTATTGAGGCTTGCCTTGACGTGGCAGGTGAGCTTATATATTTAAATGGCCATTGGAATAAAACTAAAGAGCCTCCATTTTGTTTAAATGTACATAGGGATTTAGGCCAGAGCGCAGGTAATGTTCTCTTTGTTTTTACTATGTATTTTGAGCTGTTGGATACTAAGCTACTGCTGCTGTAAGCGCGGTGCTTTATATTTCTGCACTAACAATTCACCTTGCTGCTTTAAGCTAAAGTGTAAAATCTCTAATGAGATAGAGAAGGGATTTTTTTTTTACACTTATCAACACTTAATAGGGAACACATGGGGTGGGCAGCAGCACTGTAACATGGCTGTGCAATAAAAAAGCAAATACAAATATACAAAATGGGTGGCAGCAATGACTATACAAATTCCTCACTATCCCAGTCAGGGATGAGCATCAATTCAACCATGTCCTGCGTTAGCAGATCTCTTTAAAGAGAAAGAAAAATTAAGACAGAAGTTCTAGACGGAAATGTGTCTATCCAGATAGTGTGGACGTTCCTGCTCCAAGAAGGCATTGTTGATGTGTTTGCTGCTGATAAGTTTCAGTTCATGGTTTTCAGGTTCTAAAGAGGACCTGGCTGCTAAATTATTGAATGCCCCCACAATAGAAGAAACTGTCTGTGGAGGAGAAACAGCACAAGACAACACTTGTGAAGTAAAACAAAATAGGAATCTGTATAACATTTTGCAATGTCTGGTAAGACTTGATATGACTAGCCTTTTTTTTTTTTTTTTTTTTAAATGTGACACTGTGGGAAAAAATATGGAATATAAAACAAAAGTAAAAGGGACACTATAGGCACCCAGACCACTTCAGTGTGTTGTAGTTTTCTGAGTGCATAGTCCCAGGTCCCCTAACCTTGAATAGACATTTATTGCAGTTTTAATAAATTGCAATAATTACTTTGCAGGGTTAACTCCACCTCTAAGGGCTATCTACCAAACAGCCACTAGATGGACTCTCGGGTAGATAGGCGACTGCGTCACTCGAAATCCCATAGGAAAGCATTGTATAAAGCTTTCCTGTGGGTGAAGTCTTAATGTGAGCGCAGCCATCATCACGCATGAGCATTAGGGGTTCACCCGTTGACTGACTTTAGGGAGAAGCGGAGGCGGAGCCTTGGACAGCATCAAGGGACATCAGTGCTGGAACAAAGTAAGTGACAGAAGGTTTTTTTTAGCCCATCCTGCTTAATCATAAATCAATTAGTGGGGGAGCTAACATAAGCAGTGAACATAAAGCCCAAAAACTTAGGTTCTCCCATTTTATGCTACGCATAGTTACAGGAAAAACCAAAACAACTTAAACACCAGAGCTGTGGTGCAGCCTGCCTATGACAACTCCAATCTACAGCTAGAATGCTGGAACTGGGAGACAACCTGCCTGCAATTACTTACATTAGGATTTAACCAAGGACATTAGCTTAGCTTGACCATCACTATCTGCTACATAATTGACACACATAACTGCCATAGCTTACCAGCCCAAAATTCAGAACTTCGGAATTCCGAACATCTTTAGGGCTCCCTAACCCTAACCCTACCCCTACTTCTACCCCTAGCCCTACCCTTTACCCTAACCCTGTCATCATTCACGTAATTTTCCTACCCTCTCTTGTTTTGCCACTTTTCAGAAATCCGAAACACTTTGGCACTTCCGAAATTCAGCAATTCGATTCGGTTTCGGCACTTCTAAAATTTGTACTTCAGAAATTCGGAAATTCGGCACTTCCAAAATTCTGCAATTCGGGACTTCAGCAATTCGGGACTTTGGAACATCTTTAGGGCTCCCTAACCCTAACGCTACCCCTACCCCTGTCATCATTCACGTAATTTTGCCTTCCTCTCCTGTTTTGCCACTTTTAAGACATCCGAAGCACTTCGGCACTTCTGAAATTCGGCAATTCGGAAATATGGCACTTCGGAAATTCGGCACTTCGCTACTTCGGACATTCAGAAGCATGCGAATGTCCGAATTTCCCAAAATTCGTCTGAGTTCACATTTGGAACTAAATGAATTGCACATGTCTATTCTTCAGACAGTGAGTTAATTTATTTTGCCATTTCAAGAAATGTTCCATTGTACTTGCCTACAATGCTCAGAGATTATATAGTTAGTGTGTTTGCACAGGCCAGAATTTAACCCCTTAAGGACACATGACCAAAATATTCCATCATGATTCCCTTTTATTCCAGAAGTTGTGTCCTTAAGGGGTTAAGGTTTTGGAAAGGACTAAGGAAAATATTAACCTGTCAGTATCCACACAGTATCCTGTCAGTTATCTCTTGCTTGTTTGAATACTATACCACGCTGTCATCATCTACTACCAGACCAGGACGGACTCCTGAATTCATTAACTCTCAAACAAATTGGATTGTTACTACTAAAATACCTAGATATGTTTAATCCCTTCAAAATCTACTAATAACTTCATCTTCAGGAATTTCACGGAAAACCATAATATCACTAAATATTTTCTATCAATTTACTTCTTGCTGCAATTCTGCATATAAGTTTCATTAAGTTCTATGTGCCACTTATCAAATCTAATTATTGCTGCAACTCTGCATATAAGTCTAATCAAATTCTTTGTGCCACTTATCAAATCTAATTATTGCTGCAACTCTGCAAATATGGCTAATCAAATTCTTTGTGCCACTTATCAACTACTAATCAAGTTATTAAGAACGTCTGCTACTACTTAAAGTTGTTACATTTCTACAATCTATCCAACACTAATTCCTATGCTGCATTCTAACTCCTACTTCGCATAATTAAGGACATTGTTACTTTTTCTTTTTTTACAATTGTTGCAAACAGAACATTTCGGCAAAGTCTTTCTTCTTACTACATGACAAACTGCAATTAAGTGATATTTGTCTTCAACTTAAATTCACTAAAGATAAATAAAATCTCTCAAAGAATCCGAAGTAAATTTTTTTGCTTTTCTTAAATGTATAGTACTACCTATTAATTCTTCAGTTGTGTTCCTCCATCTTGTCTAACATTCCTGAAACATAACAAGATCCCTGCCTCTTTAAGGACTAGTATGCAGTAATGACTCTAATTGGTGCAGAGAGGAAATTTGCATAAAGACTTGAAACTGCACCAATCTGTGAACTTTTGAAGAGATACACGCTCATAAGGGCAGACTTAAAAGATGGACACTGACCGATACACATGATCTAAAGAAGCCAATTATGTAGAAACACGCCATCATGTCGTGACTCAGGACGTTGTGGACCCCACCTCCCGGAATGAGCAAGGAGACTCCGGAATGCCAGAGGTGCCAGCATCTGGTAAAAAACGAGTGTTACTTCTGAGTTGTATTGCCGTGGAGAGGAAGGACCAAATTGGAGTGCCTGCTGTTTTTTTGTTTTTTTAAAAAAAGTAAAAATAAAGTTGTTACACTTTTATTTTTGTCTGTCCATCACATTTATTGAGGATTGAAGTCTGGCCACACTGTGATACAGTGAGAAAGCCCAAATAGCCTGAGCAGTCACTCACATGCTCAACGTTTGTGAGTGCTATAACATATTCTTTATTAATTAAGTGTGTTGGCAATATTACACTATTTTTCTTTTTATGTATTTTTTTACATGTGAGAGAGCGACTTTTGTGAACAAAGTTTGTAAGTCCAGTATCAGGTTTGAATTTAAATTGTATATTGGCTCACTTAAGCTGTATAATGTACTTTTCTATTGTGAAGAAAATAGACTTATGTTTAGTGTTTTCTTCTTTAATTTGTGACTTTCTGCTGTATTTTGTTATTTTGGATTTATTGGTTAGGTAGATTAAACTACCAAACACCGACCACCCTCCTGGTTCATTATCTTCAAAAGGAACCGTCTATTAAGCGCTCTCTGGGCAGCCACTGTTCGTATAGCCGAATGCCACGTGGAAGAGAAAATGGCGGCCATCCTGTTTGCTAGAGAGGAGGCAGCAGGACTTGGTCGTCGAGTGTCTGGAACTAAAATCGGACACTAGACTTACCGAACACCGCTGAAACATACGAATGCCTGCTTCCTTTTGTGGCCAAACAGCTAGGAGAGCACCATTCGGTAGTTTGATTATACGAACACGGGGAACAATTGCTCCTATGAGCCAGGAGGCTCCATTCATTCTTTTATTTGTTTTTATGCTGTTTTCTGAATTGACTGACCGCACACACTGAATTCGTGGAACTGTTTCGGGCAGGAGCCTCGTGTGCGGTCGGTGAACTAAGATTTCCACACTTTTTGAGAACCCCTGAACCGATCTGGGTGAAATTTGAATATGTTGGTCTCCCAGATTGGGGCTATCAGGGGACAAGTCATTTGTGGGGATACCTTGTGTATAAAGGGGTGTTCCAAGTTTTGGGGAAATTGTGTGCCCTCTGCCAGGAGATAATTGGGTTATTCCTTAACTTATCTCATTATCTCCCAGGCAGAGGAAGGGAGGGTTTTACTGTAATTCTGTGTTATGATTGGTTGTTCCTTTTGTTTATTGTGGGAAGTCCTCTTGCACAAGGATTTCCATAAAAGCCAGTGTGGCATCAATAAAACATGATTCCTGTTGTACCCTTCATGAAGTCTAGGCTCATGCTTGGGTAATCTTTTATTTGCTAGGAAGATTCGTCTTGAAAGCTGCATTCATCTACACTGTTCCTTTACACCCTAACTGCAACTATAATCATTTATACGCAGCTATTGGGAAAGGAATAGAAGAACTCAGTACCATAACCACTGAGGTTCTTAACATCTATGTTTAAGGTTGATGCACTTTTATGTTGCAATAATATATACACTTGTGTGTATTTGCACACAAAAACATTTGAACAATTATTACATTCTTTGCAGAAGGATTTGCAATTTTGCCTTTTAGAACAAGCACTTTGTTTAATTGTTTATTTGCTGGTGTTGATTGCAATACACAAGAGTTTTTTGTGAGCATAATCTTAAAGTCACAGCGCACATTATATTTTGTCTTTTGTTATTTTTGATATTTATTTATTAGTTTGCTTATTTAGGTTATTTGTAAATTTGGATATTTATTACTAAAATTGTGGAGTGGATGGTTGAATCCACAGGGCAAGAATGTCCCTTTATAAATCACAGAGAGTGGGAATAGCTGGACAGTATATCTGCTCTGACTAGTTCCCATTGTTAAATGGAACCAGGCCGTGCTGTCTGCTCTCTCCATTACTTTATATATATATTTTTAGAACCTTTTGCAACTAGGATAAGGGATAATAAAAAATATTAAAGAATTCCCTTTCACTAACAAGAATTTAAACTAAATTTATACGCAGATGACCCAATGACAGACCCAATTACCAATTACCAATCTAGTAACAATGACCAACCCAATTACCTCTTTAGAACACCTTATGAAAGAATTTGCAGCCTATACCGAGGTTTTCACTAATGTGTATTATAAATGAAATAGTTTCAACATCACATCGCACTATTTGTGTAATATCTATTGCCTTGAAGACACAGCACCTTTTCAGTTCTTATTTTGCTTCTGTGTTATGAGCTTTTACACTGGTGAGGTGCAGCTTTTTGAGTTATAGTTTATTTATCTTTTCTTATTTAATTTTTTAGCACCTTTATTTATATACAGTGTACTAAAGTTTCTAACCTCAGGATCAATATAGACAAATTGGTTACAATGGGCTGTAATCTAACAGAGAATTAGATCAAAATATAATATACATGGGCTAAGAAAGTAATATGTTATTTGGGAATAAAAATAATAGAAGATATTCAAAATTGCAAGGAAATAGTTTGTTGAGAATTGTTAAAATGAAATAAACCATTTTCCAAAACGATATTTAAAAACAGAGAAAAACAAGTAACAAGAGAGATGAGAACTGACAACAGCTCAATTTGCCTACCCTTCGGTGGGTCCCCGCTCAGATCTCAAGCTGGTTTTAGCTCATCTAGTGCCATTACAGAGAGAACATATCTGAAAAATATCAGACTGGTACCACCCATATGGGCAGTCCAGATCCAAAATACCAGCAAGTTCCCTCTGCACAAGAGATACAGCAACCCCAGACAATTGTTTCAACCTTGTAAGGTATCATCAGTGAGGTATAGTCAATATCCCTCTAGGCACCATGAGCAAGGAGTCCACGTCTGGATTGCCCTTTAAACTTAAGGAGAGAAAAACAAGTAGCAATCATGTTATGATTCCCTTTTATTCCAGAAGTTTGGTCCTTAAGGGGTTAAAAAAAATTGTCTGACCCTTGAAAATTAAAATATAGTGATGCACCGAACGGTTCGTCGGCGAACAGTTCCCGGTGAACATAGCGTGATCGCGTCCACCGCGGACGGCGAACACATGCGCGGTTCGATCCGCCCCCTATTCGTCATCACTGAGTAAACTTTGACCCTGTACCTCACAGTCAGCAGACACATTCCAGCCAATTAGCAGCACACCCTCCCTAGCAGACCCTCCCACCTACTGGACGGCATCCATTTTACATTCATTCTCAAGCTGCATGCTTAGTGAGAGGAGGGAAAGTGTAGCTGCTGTTGATTAGATAGGGAAATGCATAGCTAGGTTAGGGTATACAGTGTCCACTACAGTCCTGAAGGACTCATCTGATCTCTGCTGTAAGGACAGCACCCCAAAAAGCCCTTTTTAGGGCTAGAACATCAGTCTGCTTTTTTTTCTGTGTAATGTAATTGCAGTTAGTTGTCTGCCACTGCTGCCAGCTTCTGTGTCAGGCTCACAGTGGATACTGTGCCCATTTGCCCAGTCAGTGCCACCACTCATATCTGGTGTCACAATGGCTTGCATTTAAAAACAAAAAACTTTTTTCACTGTTATAGATTGAATAGCAGTCAGTGTCCTTAAAGCGGGTGTGTCAGGCTCACAGTGGATACGGTGCCCAGTGCCACCACTCACTCACTGGTGTCACAATAGCTTGCATTTAAAACCAAAAAACTTTTTTCACTGTTATAGATTGAATATAAAAGTGGCCTCTTTGAGATAAATATTTCCCACAATCAGAACAAAAATAAGGTTTCTCTCCTGTATGGTTCCTCAAATGATGCTTAAGATTGGAAGCGGCTGAAAAGCATTTCTCACTCACAACAAAAATATATTTTTTAACATTTTCTCCACTTTGAACGAAATGACGTTTGGGAAGAGATTTTGTATGAGTAGGTTTTTCATGTACAATACGGGAACATGATTTAGATCCTTGGTAAGTTTTGCGAGATCCAATAGTGTGTATGTAGGGGGAACAGTCAATCCATATCTGCCAAGTGACCCTATGTAGGAGGAACAGTCTCTATTCTGCCCTGATGTCAGCTCTTGCGCTGGGATAGCCAGCAGAATGTCAAGCTCTGTACAAGGGTCAAAGGGAGGGCAGAGGCAGCTTTTCATCCAACCTTGTGCAAATGGGGTCTTTCATGCTGTCGTGCCTGTTGAGGGACCCTCATATAAAAAGGCTGAAGGAGAACGACCTGTGCTGGGTGTCCACGCTACTAGACCACCGGTATAAGCAGACAGTGGCGGAAATGTGACCGAATTACAAGTCGGAAAGGATGCAACATTTGCAAAATAAATTAAAAAGTATGCTTTACACAGCGTATAAGGGTGATGTCACAGCACAACGGGAATCTAACAGGGAAAGAGGTGAAAGTCATCCTCCTCCTCCCACGACCACGCCATATCTGCCAAGTGACCCTATGTAGGGGTAACAGTCCCTATTCTACTCTGTGTCAGTGTGTATCAGGGGCTCTGAGGACAGGTGTCAATCCATATCTGCCAAGTGACCCTATGTAGGGGGAACAGTCCCTATTCTGCTCTGTTTCAGTGTGTATCAGGGATCCTTAAGACAGGTGTCAATTCATATCTGCCAAGTGACCCTATGTAGGGGGAACAGTCTCTATTCTGCTCTGTCAGTGTGTATCATGGTCTCTGAGGACAGGTGTCAATCCATATCTGCCAAGTGACCCTATGTAGGGGGAACAGTCTCTATTCTGCTCTGTGTCAGTGTGTATCATGGTCTCTGAGGACGGGTGTCAATCCATATCTGCCAAGTGACCCAATGTAGGGGGACCAGTCTCTATTCTGCTCTGTGTCCGTGTGCATCAGGGGCTCTGAGGACAGGTGTCAATCCATATGTCAAGGTGTCAATATGTCATATGTCAGGTGTCAATCCATATTCATTGTGATTTAGGAATGTTAGTTGATTTCTGCCCTTTATGGATTAAAACCAGACTCTGCATCAACTGTGTAATAAACAGTCCAGGTGTTAGTCCCCTTGAAACAACTTTACATTCCTATTGTGGCCAGAAAGAGTCCCTGTGTGTTTTAAAATTCGCCTGCCCATTGAAGTCTATGGCGGTTCGCCCGGTTCGCGGGTTCGCGAACATTTGCGGAAGTTCACGTTCGCCATTCGCGAACCGAAAATTTTGTGTTCGCAACATCACTATTAAAATAGCTCCACCATGGATCGCTATAATTATCGCTATGAATTATTATACCAATTAATAGAATTAGCAATTAGTAACTCCCCTGTTATAACTGAAGAGAGTAACTCTACTAGGGTTCCTAGGTCCGTGTGGCTGATATGATGTGGCCAAACTATAGGTACTTTGGTTGAAACCCTGAAGATCTAGTTATTTGACACCCTAATGTCTATTTGTTTGTCATTCTAAGTTACATAGGGTCTTTTAAGTGATAATTCGGTGAATCAAACCAAAGCACAAATTAAATTCGGCTTGCCCGAAAAAAAAAATTGGGAAATAGCAAATTGGAGGAGCCAAATTTTCCATCCATACAAAGTTCTGTATTTATCACCCCAATTATTCAGCGTTGAACAATATTTTGACACTTGTCCATGTATAAATTATAATGATAATAATAATAATAATAATAAAGGAAGAAACTAAAGTAAAGTGCATAAAAAAGATCAAAGAAACTCCTGACCAACTTTAGGCCCCTTGTTAACATCACAACAAGAGAGTTTTGACATGTTGGGACACATTTATAATGGTAAGGAGATAGAAGCACTAATAATAAGAGTGAGATACAGATACTAAAGGGTTTATTCGCTACATGTGAATACGTTAACATATCTTTTATCACATTCTCAATTTAGGGACTAAATAAGTGTAAAACAATCCATGCAGAGGAAATACATTGTTTGTAAATCTGAACTGTACGGATCAATCTTTCTATCTGCTGTGGCCATGGTTATTAGGGTAACTGAGATCACAGTCAGTGGAGGACTTAAGGTGTCATGGGCGTAGAGATGAAAAATCTGATGGGCCCAATGCCACTGTAGTTCTGGATTACATATGTGACATATAGCACACCTACTTCTTCCTTGATCATGATCCCTGGACTCTCGATCTTATGTGATTGACATCCTCCTGCGTATCTGAGGAAGGATTGTCACTGCTGCTCACACCTTTTGGGGTGGTTAGCTAGGAATTTGTTATTGCGTTGCTAAAGTAAATAAAAGTGGATTCATTGGGGTTGAGTGAGGCTGTCCTGCTTTTATCCTCCCTCACCATTATTTGTTCACTTGCTTTGGTCCATCAGTTTTATTTCTTTTCTTTCCTTTTATTCCTGCCAGCTCAGTATTTAATTGAAGATGAAGCTTTGCCAATCACGGGCTTGGGGATTCACAGTCTGCATGAAGGCTGATGGTGTAATACAGACTTCTTCAGATGATTGGTCATCAATATTAAAACTGTTGACTCTCTCACCAAGCAGCTGGCAGATTGTATTTGTTATTGTTGTTGGCAAGTTAAGCATGTCAAAAAAGCTGTGCCAGTTCCCTATTTAATATGTTGGCAGTTTTCTTATTTGGGTGGGGCAGATGGCGTATTGTGGGAATATAGGGGCATTTTATATATATATACACACTAACTTTCTTATTGTGGGTCAGCAGTCATGAGATGTTGTATCTGCTTTTGATGTTACTCTATCAAGCTCATTTGAGCAGGATCCTTTTCAGCTCTTGTATTTCCAACATTGCTTTTGTCTGTCAATTAATTGTTATTATGCCCTTACTGTACGACTGTAAATTGACGTGAAATCAGTTGCTGTTATATAAATGCTAATAATATAAAATCAAGCCTTAGTGCCCAGTACAGACCGAGTGCTGGGAAGCAATTAATGAATAAAAAAAATAAATAAAAAAAACACAGTAGATGAGCAAAAAATGTGGTTCATGCATAAATGAACTGAATCATCAGAATTAAAAATCCTTTTAATCCATTAACCTGGAAAATAAAAGTGAATTGATTAATGTGGGTGAGGATTAAAAGGATTTTGATTTGTTTATGGACGAACAGCATTTTTGCACCTGGCAAAAAGACAGTTTGATCAGAGATAGTGGAGCACCATTGGGTGGCTGCACCCCATTTCACAATTAATAAATAAAAATAAAATTTATTTTTGTGGCAACATAGGGCCTATTTCAAAGGATGTGTCTGAAGACGTTTATACACTATTCAATTATTTTATCTACAGAAGCCCTAACTGGCATCTCTTGCCCACGGGTCACTCAAAAGATCAGAGAGCACTTGGGGATCTTCTCAAAAGCTACAGACAATGTATTCAGTACAGAAAGGACTCAAGTGCTATAAATCAGAAGAAATACGTATGCATTTGTAGACATATATAGTTGATGTTCCATATGTATATTCTAAAATAACAGAAAAATAGAACAGCACATAGTATATACTGTGATGACCGATAGATAAATATCAAATACGAAAATACACTCACAGATTACAGAGCCATACCAGGCTCTGTATATTGCACCCAAGGGTGGCTAATAGGCAGAATTGGAGGTCCTGAGGGATTAGGCCAGTCTCAGATAGATCAGGAGGGCAGCAATAATGGTAAAAAGTAGCAATATATTGAAGCAAAGTATTAAAACAAAATAAAAGAAACTGCAAAAAAAGTCCCTTAATTGTGACACACAGTCTTTAACACATGTAGATGTGTTTCAACTCTCCACAAGTTTTCCTCAGTGCATGAGAAGATGTCCAAATTGCTGCCTTTTGAATTCGCCGCTAAGTCAACCGGTCACATGGGCTGAAGTTCGGCTATTCTGGCATCTGATATCACTTCTGTTTTTTCGGAGCAAATTTATCATATCTTCCTTAGTGGTTTCCTTTTGCACATTCTAGGCATAGACCTCCATATCACTACAGGACAAATGTATCTAATACTAACCGGGCAATATATATTCAAAATAGAAATACATAAAGAGGTAAAAAATAATAAGAATAAAAATAAACCATATAAATTTAAATTTTCCAAACGCTGGTTATAGTGTTCCTTAGGAATATTGTTAAAAAGATAATGATAAATAATAACAACTAAAAAAATCTCCACTGTAAATACCATAAAACCTAACCTATAAAAAACAAAAATATATATGGTGAGACAATATATACAGTAAGATCACATATAAAAAATACATGTATAATTAAAGACTGGATAGGCATAGAGGACCTAAAAAAAATCTCAAAAATATTTAAAGAAAATAGGCCAATTCGAAATCTAAATTAGGACTATTTGGGTATAGAGTGTCCAACTCAAATAGCCACCTACTTTCCAAGTTACTTAATTCTTTAAACTTGTCCTTGCCTCTCCAGTCTTTGTTTTTCTGGCTAATGACAGTAAAACTAATACATAAAGGGTCACTATCATGGTGCTGTGCAAAACATGCAGAAACACTATGTTTAGTATAACCCCTCTGTATATTGCCCATGTGTTCTTGTATACATGTTTTGAATGACCTAGTGGTCATCCCCACGTACCATAGTCTACAGGGGCACCAGAGAAGGTATATTACATTGGTGGAATGGCACGTCAAAATAGAGTTTAGTAGATTTTGAAATTAATTTAATCTGCGTGTTTTTGTTTTAAATTTTGTTTTTTTACATGCTGTGCACATCTTACAAGGGTAAAAGCCTTTCTTTTGGTTAAAAGCATTAGATTTATTATTTGCTTTGATATGGTTTTTACCAAAACAGTCTGAAGATTTCTTGTACCTCCATATATAATTTTTGGTTTCTCATTAATTATCTTATTTAGGTCCTCATCTGTTTTTAAAATATACCAGTATTTATTGATAATAAATTTTACTCGATTAGCATCCCCATTAAAATCTAAGATTAAGAGGGGTTCTTCTGTTTTATTACTAGTCTCTTTGTTCTTATATTCCAACAGTGTCTCTCTTTTCAATTTTTTGACTTCCTGAATTTAGTATTTCCAATATAAGCTGATCGTATTTTTTCTCTACATAAAATGTTTTTAGATGTTGGGCTTGTTTTTTTGTATTCTACAGTATTATTACAATTTTTAAAAATACGAGTGAATTGACTTTAAGGTACATTGTGCGGCCATGGGTCGTAGTGGCAGCTCGTGGTGTCAATGTAACCATTAACATCTACTTGCTTTAAAAATGTCCTAGTATGGATTTGGTTATTCTGAATATATATATCTAAATCTAAAAATTGGACTTGAGTCTGACTAATATGACTAGTTAAAACAATATTCATATGGTTACTATTAAGATCACATAAAAATGTGTCTAAAGTGGTCTTAGTGCCTTTCCATATAAAAAAGATGTCATCTATATATCTGCGATAGAGGACCAGACCCGTATGCCCATCACCACACCTTGGTAGGAAAGATTCCTCCCAATGAGACATAAAAAGGTTGGCATAACTGGGAGAGAATCTGGTTCCCATTGCAGTGCCATTGAGTTGCAAAGAGAAGGAGCCATCGAACCAGAAAAAGTTATTTGTCAAAATCAGATGGATACTCTCTATTATAAAATTTACTTGACTATCAATGAACTTCTGGCTCTCTATTAAAAATTGTTTAATCACTCCACAGCCCAATTCATGTAAAATAATCGGATATAGACTGGATACATCACATGTTACCAAATAATAATCTTCCTGCCACTGTAGGCTTTGTAGGATATTTAATAATTGCGTTGAGACTCTTAAATATGTCGGTTATGATGTAACCAGTGACTGGAGTTGTCTGTCGATATATTCAAATAGTCTACTTAATAGGGAACCTATCCCGGACACTATTGGTCTTCCGGGAGGTTTCTTATGATCTTTGTGGATTTCTGGGAATATATAAAATACTGGTATATGGCATACTTTCATATTCACGTAGTTATATTTATTTTTGTTTAAGATACCATTTTCAAATTCTTTATCTAATAGCTGGACATATTTCTTTTTTCTGCTGGGTGTGGCGTCGGCATTTCATTTGATATAGGGGGAGACATCGTTCAGCTGTCTGTACACTTCTTCAATGTAATCTTTAACATTTAGTATCATGATGCCTCCACCTTTATCTGCTGATTTTATTATAATATTTAGATTTCTTTGTAGTTCCCGAAGAGCTTTAATTTGTAGAAAATTAGGGTTATTCCATTTTTTTTTTTACATATTCCTTACATCTTTTAACTAATTTTTCAAACACTTTCATTGCTCCGCTAATGAGTTGTTTGGGAAAAAAAATAGATTTTTCTTTTAGATTGGTATGTATGAAATTATCTTCATTTATTGCCAGTTTAGTATTAGATAAATTTGCCCTGTAGTGGTATGAAGGACTATGCCTAGAATGGGCAAAAGGAAACCACTAAGGAGGATATGATGAATTAGCGCCGACAAACCGGAAGTGACATCAGACGCCGGAATAGCCGAACTTCCGTCCACGTGACCGGCTGACTCACAAGCGGTGAATTCAAAAGGCAGCAATTTGGACATTTTCTCATGCACTGAGGAAAACTCATGTGTTAAAGACTGTGTGTCACTATTAAGAGACTTGTTTTATCTTGTTTTAATACTTTGCTTCAATAAATTGCTACGTTTTGCCATTAGTGCTGTACCTCCTGATCCATCTGTGAATGCCTAAGTACTCAGGACCTCCAATTCTGCCTATTAGGCACCCTTGGGCGCAATTTACAGAGCCTGGCACGGCTCTGTAATCTGTGAGTGTATTTCCATATTTGATATTTATCTATTGGTCATAACAGTATACACTATGTGCTGTTCTATTTTTCTGTTATTTTAGAATATACATATGGACCATCAACTATATATTGTCTACAAATGCATAAGTATTTCTTCTGACTTATAGCACTTTATTTCTTTCTGCACAGGAGAGGGTGTGTATACTTAGTGTGTGTGTTCTTATCTAAGTAATTAATTGTTTATTTGCTTAGGGTGTTGGGGAACACCTTTCACACCTACAACCGTGTTAGCACTGTGAAAGCGCCATTCACATATATAGTTTTGATTATTTAATGTATTCAGTACATTTTAATTACATTTGTGAACAGTCAATGTTTCACCCCAAACATAAGCTTTCATTAAGTCCATTAAGCCCATGTTCTGATAGAAAACGTCAACTGCAAACACACTGTAAACAAATCTAATTTAACTTTCTGAATACTGGAGTTTCTTCAGAAAATGCAGAGTCCCTGGCTGCTTTGTTAATAAACAGGTGTTCCTTTTTCCCACACTGTGAACTTTACGTCAGAGGAGAGAAGAAGAATGCTTAGGGTGCATCATAAATGTGTACGTAAGTTTACCTTTTTTTTTAATCTTATTTTGGACCCTGGAGCACTTTGCACACTGACAGATAGGAGTTTATTGTTATGAGATTCAGCTTACAGTACTGTTGACTTTAAAGCTATTATAGTTGCTGAACTCCAGAGCACCTATTGAACTCAAGAGTGATATGCAATACAAATTGCATACATATGGTCTTTGGGGGTATTTGACCTACATTCATAAAACTTGTGTATTAGAGAAGATTTATGGTTTTACAAGGAGTATTACAATGGATAAACTGAATTGCATATAGTGTTCAGAGATAGCTAGTAAACCTTAATCAAAAGCATAGGTCCATTAGCTACTGCAAAAGTATTGGTGCTTACAAAAACATTTTATTTTTATTCTGTATAATTCTGATGTAAATTCAAATGTGTCTTGTACTGTATGTCAAGCACCTATTATAAAATGGTGGGGTCAATTACCAATGAAATAGAACAAACGTGTCCCAATATAAATGTTCCCTTCTTATTTGTTCTTTAACTTCCAAAGTTCAAAATATTTCAAACACACTACTATGATGAAAAATAGCATGCACTGATGAGTTTACGGCCACTGTGAAATTCTTCTATAAGCTGTAAAATGTCCGCAAGGTTGCCTGTCACGCAACAAGGAAAAAACACATAATTTCAATGTAATGCTGAATTGCTCTGGTTTCTTATCTGCAGTGCTGTCTTCAGATGTTTTAAAGTATTGCCGTAAGAAAAATCTAAATTAAATATATAGGTGGAAAAAGTAGAGAAGCAATAATAAAATAATAAAATCTATGGGTGGCTTCACACCAAATAAACTTTGGTTGAGAATCTCAAAAAATGAAGAAAGTGTGAGCGCTATTGTCTTAAGCAATACTGTCATGCAACAATTCTAAATTACAATGTTTATTTCTCAGTATTAGCAATACATGAAACTATGGTATAAAATCTTGTTCTATGACACAGAGGGACCACAGTCCACATGATGATTTACACATTTGGAGGTTACTGCTGTAGCAGAAATAAACAGATAACCATGAAAACCATCTAGTATTAAACCTGCCTACCTAAATTTCTATTTGCATAAGCAAATTTACCATTTGCCAATCACTGAGCAAGGTTAGGAGACAACTTTGTATTTTAGATATTTACAATTTAGATATTTATTAGAGCAATGGTTTAATTTTGCTTCACATATGAACACTTCTAAGAGCAATAACCATCAGCCCCATTAACTCTGCTTGTGATTTTCATCTTGTAGTAAATACCTTGAGTAGTTTACTCACAATTCACACCCAATAGCAAGTTGGTTGAGGTTTTACTTACATTTTTGCTCACACTTTACTCCTGAGCTAATTAGATTATCTGTAGACTTGTGAAGGGACAAAATATTTGATTTCCTTAAATCAATTCGTATAAAACAAAATAATAATATTAATTTGGAGGGTAGTACGATATTTGCCCACTGAGTGGCTCTACCTGCCTAATATTGTCCATGCAAAATATTTGAGAAAACAGTTCAGACAAACCAAAAAGGTGCCATAATGAGCCAATAACTGTACTGTAAACTACACTGCTCAAAAGGGAACACTTAAACAACACAATGGAACTCCAAGTCAATCACACTTCTGTGAAATGAAACTGTCCACTTAGAAAGCAACACTGAGTGACAATCAATTTCACATGCTGTTGTGCAAATGGGATAGACAACAGATTGCCTATAGATGGTCCTATTTTTAGGCCACTTAGCGGCCTACTGGACAAATCCCCATTTGACTTTAACACAAATCTGGTTATTAAAGCCGCCATCTTTATGGCTTTCTACGGTTTTCTCAGACCTAGGGAGTTCACAGTCATACGTCAAATAGATACCACATTAAGCCTGAAACTTTCTCATCTAAAGAAAGTAGAAGACCACTACGTAATTTCATTACCGTCTACTAAAACTAACCACACCACTTATCCCACTATCATTCCCCTCTTCTCTAACGAGAATGTTTGGTGCCCAGTCAAAGTACTTGACATACTCTTATTGTCTCACCACACGTACTCACCTGACACTCCACTATTACTACTCCAAGGGCACCCACTCACCAGAGCTAAATTCACTTCTCACGTCAGAACTCTACTAGCAAGGTTGGACTACAACCCAGCTTCCTTCTCTGGTCACTCCTTCCGCATAGGCGCAGCATCTTCAGCATCTAGTTCTAACACACCAGTCCACATCATTAAGAGACTGGGTTGCTGGAAATCCTCAATTTATAATACCTACATACAACGACCAGAGAGGGAGCTTCGACAAGCTTTCAGAAATCTTGCTTTGTAACTTGTAATAAAGTGTGTTTACTTTGAATCCTCCTTTTGCCCTCTTTTTATTACAGGCCTACTCGTACGTTGGTTTCGGCACACCTCAACCAACTTTGCATCTTCTTATACATTCCATTACCTATTAGAAATTCTGAGCACAAGTTAAAAGGCCATTAGGCCTGAATTTGTGGGAGGAGTTATGGCCCCTATTTAAACTCCTAGCACCTACTCACCTTTGCCGTTCAAGCTGTTTGTCCCCACCCACCTACACCCATCTATATATACGTTTCACCTTTGTAGGCCCTCTTTTTATTACAGGCCTACTCGTAGATTAGTTTCAGCACACCTCAACCAACTTTGCATCTTCTTATACATTCCATTACCTATTAGAAATTCCGAGCACAAATACATATATATATATATGTGAAAAGCCCTTGCACTCCAGCCAAGAAATAATGGTACCTGGTGCTCTGGTAGCTTAGCAATATATACAGAGGGAATACCGGCACTCCAAGGATTTTCAAGTTATTCTTCTTTATTCAAAATGATATCAACGTTTCAGCTCCATTACGGAGCTTTCATCAGGACATGTAAATATGTAAATATAGATTCTAACTGCTCCTCCATTTGTTTCTCTGTTGGTCACTTTACACTTAATCTGTAAAGTTACCAATAGAATAAAACATTTAGGGGCCGTCTTTCTATCAATCATCTCTTTTTGGAGTTATGGAAAGAACACAGAATCACAAAACAAATGAACATGCTCGTCAGTGTCCAGTTTCCTCACTGGCAGCACTAACAGTCAGCAGGCAAATGGTTAAATAACCATCATGATGCAAGGATTAACCATGTAGTGATTGGCCAGCACTTCCCAGCCAACTTGCACATTATATATACACACAGACATACATATATATGTTTGTACATACCTAGTAAACATAAAAACGACTGCGAGAAAATATGGTCCCCCTTATGCCCCCACATGAAAATCAGGTGTGTGTTTTTAATTTTGGTAATAGGGGCTGGACAGGGCACTCCTCCATATCACCTTGTGCCAGTCATTGTTACAAGCTCTGTCCTTTACACCTGCCAGGCAGCATAGAGAAGGGGAGAAATAAAACAATGTTTGCTTTTATTCATCCTGGCTTTGCCTTGTCTGAAATAGAGTGCGAGGTGATTTCCTAAATAGTTAATATAAATTTAAAAGACAAAAAAAATGTATCAAAACAAAAGTTTTTCCATTTTTTTTTCAGTGGCGTATATTCTCCTTTAAAGAATTATCTGTATCTAAAAAAAGTCATCTGAAAGAGTTTAAAGGCAGAATACCAACAATAAGTGTGCTCTTTATAGAAACATAGAACGTGACGGCAGATAAGAACCATTCGGCCCATCTAGTCTACCCAATTTTCATAAATATTTCATTATGCAATGGCCTTATCTTTTAGCTGTGATAGCCTTATACCTATCCCACACATGCCTAAACTGTGCTAACCTCTACCACTTCAGCTGGAAGCCTATTCCATGCATCCACTACCCTCTCAGTAAAATAATACTTCCTGATGTTCTCTTGTTGTGGTAGTTTTTCTTCTTTTAAATATAGTCTCCTCCTTTACTGTGTTGATTCCCTTTATATATTTAAATGTTTCTATCATATCCCCCCGTCTCGTCTTTCCTTCAAGCTATACATGTTAAGATCTTTAGTACTACATTAAAAATATAGCAAATGCCACTAAATATAGAGGTAAAAGTCAATTTGATCTTGCTGTATAAACGCGTTAGACTATCTTAATATAAATAAAAATAAATGATCAAATTAAAAGATTAAGGGGGAATACCCCATTATAGTAACAAAACCCAAAGTAACAATATGTACCATTGAATTCATTAAGTAGATAATGCACTAGCTGGCCTATATGTATAAACTAAACCTTTTACAAATTCATATTATACAAAGTATACAGTGTAACTAAAAAAAATAATTATGTTAATGTCTGTACAAAGGATATGTCAATTATGGTATGTGCAGACTTCCATGGAGTCTTGTGGCAACAAGAATGGCTAACACACTACCTGGCTATAAACAGTTGCAGCATTAATAATCAGGAACACGTATTTCTTATGTTGTGTACAAATTATATAAAATAAATAAATAAAAGGACATACATTGAAAACTCATTTATCAAACTAAAACGTAAGTAGTTTTGTAAATCACCAGAAACATTGTATTTACAAAAATAACAATTTGGGAAATCATGAACACAATTTAAACTTTTTGATTAGTGTTTAGTGATTTAGTGATTAGTACATTTTTATCAAGAACATTTAAACATATTCAAACAGTTAATTTCCAGTACATTTCACTGCTTTGTTATCTTATAGATAAAATGTAAGCATTTAAAAAAAAAAAAAAAACCTATTAATATAATATATACATAGTTATACTGCAGTTATTTAGGAGAGGATCTTGTTGCTTTGTGCGACTCTGTCTCTTGGTCTGTTTGCTGTAAAGTGGGTTGGCATACCTGGGGGTCCTGGTGTTTTCCAGCCTTGATCTGTGGACCTTCTCTTGAATAAAAAGTAGATGTAGGGGTTTATTATGTGTCCATTCCTCAAATAGGACTTTAGCTCAAGGAAGTGTCCAGATCAGATAGAACAGCAATGTATAACCTCAGCTCTTCTCATTATGTTGTGGAAGTTCGTAGACTTCCTGGTTTGTTACTTTATAATTACTCTACTCCTTGAATCATTCTGTGAATGTCGCTTTGCAAATGTAAATCTTTTGGTCAGAAGCTACAGTGTGAAAAAAAGTGTTCAGAGGGCAAATAAAATCAATAATATTCAACAGACAACTAAGTGTTAACATGTTGACCTGTGCCATATGGATCCCTTAATAGTTACCTATAAAACAGTGGAGCTCGAAGAATTGACATACACTGCAGCTCTAATTTCCATTTGAGAGACCATACTAGAGAGCTAATTCTGCAACAATAACTACTGAGGGTGCCAGATGTTCTATTTGCACAATTATACTTTTTGTGCTTTACCATTTTAACATAGTATACTATATCATTGTTTGATTTTAAAATGTGGTTTTGTTCATTTTTTTCTTTTTTATGGCACTTTTTAGAGTGTCAAAATGTCTCTGACTCATGTCTAGACTGGTATGGAAATTATTTTATATCTGCTAAGATAAGCGTACAGTTGAAAATAGGGACTCTCATTTCACAGGCTTTTTAATATTATGTTTATTTATCTCTCTATTTAACAAATGAGTCTTCGTGAGGTGTGAGCTATATACAGTGAGGAAAAAAAGTATTTGATCCCCTGCTGATTTTGAACGTTTGCCCACAGACAAAGAAATGATCAGTCTATAATTTTAATGGTAGATATTTTAACAAAGAGAGACAGAATAACAAAAAAAATCCAGAAAAACACATGTCAAAAAAGTTATAAATTGATTTGCATGTGTTATTCTCTGTAGGCGGTTACCATAGTGATGATTGCAGCATCACCATAACAACAGCATTACGTGACGTCATCGCGCAGGGACCACTTGGTTACAGAGGGGGAGTGGCTTCACGGACATGCGTGGTGAACACATTAGGACGCCGTTAGTAACACCTAACAACTGGGGTAAGTCACTTTTCTAATCAATATTGTTATATATATTTTGTTATTTGCACATTGGAATTATGCCATTTGATCCTGAGGAAGGTCCCTGAGTGGACCGAAACGTTGATCTGCTTTTAACTTGATGGAATAAAGACACCTATACAAGGAAAGACTGTGAGTGCAGCCCATTTGTTTATCATTTTGTATATATATATCTATATATATATATATATATATGTATATATATATTTGTGGTCGGGGACAATAAGCCGAGTTATATCAGTGGTGCATAAGTCAGTTGGGGTGTGCTGAAACCGACGTTCGAGATAGGCCTGTAAAAAGAGGGCAAAAAGTTAATAGTTTAATACTTTAATACGTGTCGACATTACACAATCAATACTTTACATTTTATCAGCATTTAAAACCATACCTGAAAGAGAAAATTTGTTAGTGGGAGATACTCTATAACACCAAGATACTGGCTGATCTATACTATGCCAAGTGGCGAAACAATTAAGCTAAATTGGTGACTTGGGAACATAACAAGTTACCAAGTGGTGATGAGAGGCTCTACCAATGATTTGGCCTGTTGGGTACGTTTGCCACCGGGTGCCAGCCAGGGATCAAGGGTATTTAAATAGAAAATAGTGTAAGCTGCACTCACGGTCTTTGGTTAAAACTTCAAGGCTTTATTGAGTTTCCTTTTAAAATAGATCAGTGTTTCAGTCCTACATTCGGACTTTATTCAGGCTCCTGAGGACAGTCCGAATGTAGGACTGAAACGTCGATCTCACCTCAGGATCCTGAGGAACGTCCAAATGTAGGACTAAAACGTTGATCTATTTTAAAAGGAAACTCAATAAAGCCTTGAAGTTTTAACCAAAGACCGTGAGTGCAGCTTACACTATTTTCTATATATATAAATATATATATATATATATATATATATATATATATATTTGTCTTAGGGGCAAAAAAGGCTGTATAGTGAGATAGTGATAAAGTTTGGAGCAGCTTAAAGAATGGAAATAAGTCAGTTGTGGTGTGTCGGAACCGACAATGTGGTAGGGCCTGTAAATAAAGAGGGCAAAAATATAGATTGGGCCCACCCAAGAGGTTAAAAGGAAAAAAAGGGGTATTAATTGAATAGAGGGAGTGGAGGGTAGGGACATGTAAATCGCTAGACCAAGAATGGTGTGGAGTAACATAAGGAGTTCCTTTTAGTAGGATATTCATGCCCCTCCCACAATTACTGGCAAAAGCTTTAATACTTGTGTTAGGGACAAAAAAGGCCATATAGAGATTTAGTGATAAAGTTAGGAGCAGCTTAAAGAATGGGACTAAGTTGGTTGGGGTGTGCCGGAATCAACAATGCAGTAGGGTCTGTAGGGCCTGTAAATAAAGAGGGCAAAAATATAGATTCATGCAATTTTAAAACATATAATTATTTATCCATATTATAAAGACATTTTTGTAAAGGCATTACGTATTTCTTGTACTGGTTGTGGAATGTACCGAGAATATATTGAGGACTTCCAATGGCTTATGATTTTTATTATGTGGACTGGTATATTCACGCTTGAGGTAGAAGCTGCTCCTTTCCTAAAGGAGTGACCAGAATAATTGGAAGGGTTGAGGCCTAGTCGCATAATTAATGATGTGATCTCTGCATTAAATTTCCTGTCGCTAGGAAAGACCCATTTAGGGAAAGAAGAGGTTGTACAGGGTGATTGCACGGGGTGAGAAAATATGAGTCTAATACTGCTACAGGGCACCATAGAATACAAATAGACCAGGGATCCAGCTTGTATCAAAGTTGATGTTTTGTATCAGTGCCTCCCCTATAGTCAGGGGGGTTAGTCCTGTCGTTGATGATTACGCCAATTCTGAAATCAGGAAGTCCACACACTCCCAATGGTTGAGTACAAAAGGAATAAATTGGCGTTAAAATATAATTAGTAAAAAATATAATAACAGTCCTACGCGTTTTGTGTTTTTTGTATTCTATACTATCTTGTATATAGTTACCAACTTGGGAGGTAACGTAAGGAAAGCAAGTATCCAAAAGTTAAGTTAAATTTTATTTTCCACAGGTGATTAGGTGGAAGCTATAGACTTTTTTATAGGGTAGTATGGAATGTCTACTGGTAGGTTGTCTTGACTTGTTTTTGTATGGGGTAAGTAGATTATATCATGGTCTGCTTGTTTAGAGATATGAGACCATACTGTATGTGAGATGTGGTGGTAGTGGTAAATTCACATGGCCTCAGGAAACCATAAAAAGCTAGGTACATTGCGGTCTTAATGACTTGATTGATTAAGGGGTTTAAAAGGGCCCAAGTCCGGGGGCGGGGCCTGACCGTCTAGCTGAGCAGACGCATGGGATGACGGCTGCTCACATATCTCACTATAATCATTGTAAATTCAGCAAAAACAAGCAGAACTCGACTTTGGAGCATACCAAATGGTGTTAGGGCTAACTTGAGCACCAGTTGGGGCATTTAAGTGACACTCTGACACAGAGATTTGGTCCAGTATACTTGAGGCCTAGCATGGTTTCAGCTGGGAGTGACGGCTGACTTCCTTAGCAGAGCCGAGCCGGTGGGGGTTATCCCGGTCCTCACCTCTACTACTGCCGATACTCACCAGCACTCAGGCTTACCCTCCACAGGGGTTCTGCTCCACAACCATACAGTGATTGCCAAGCAGTAATGAAGAGAATCTGGAAACCACCAATAAGAAGATTGAAAAGGAAAACACCCACTGGAATCACCAATGAACTAAAGGGACTAACCCTCTGTAATGGGACTGATGGGAGGGTGGAATTAGGCTGCTTTTTTGGGAGCATTACTGATATTATTGTCTTTTATTGTATATTGGTCTCTGAGGAAGTCCCATAGTGGATGAAATGCGTAAGACCAAATTTTCTTTTATTGCTTTTTTTATATACAAACTTCTTTTCTACTCATACCTGTTGGAGTCTTGCATGGTTCCTGATATTGGGTGATACCTGATCCTAAGAGGGAGATATTAGCCCCCCAAAACATCGGGGAAGGCACCATTAGAGTGCATATAACTTCAACATCATGTGAGTGCAATCTTTAGCAGGGAATATTATATTTCCATCAACTGTATTATGTTATGTTCTATTCTTATTGTATTTTACTTTTGATTTATCAGCTGAATCCCACATGTATTGTATCTTTTGGCTTGTTCAGACATAACACTATTTGGGAGGTGTTCGGTGGGAAGCTGTTTTCTGTTTATTTGATAAGTATATGATTTTATTTCAGGTTTTTTTTTTTTGTTGTATGACATCAAGCGGTAATGAGCAAGATGGCGGACGAGATATTCCACAATATTCTGGGAGGCAATTAGGAGTGACACCAGGTTTATGTCTTTGCCTTCCACCCTGTTGAGCACCACTAGGTTCCAACTGAACTGAAGAGGAAGGCCCAGTTGGTGACATAGAGTGATAAATTCTAATTTCTCCAATCTGTCACTGATTTTTCCTACAGAGGCCATGAGCGATGACAACATGTAGTGAAAATAGGCCGATTTAGGCCCTCCCCTGCATCAGAATTATCTTTAGAGGTGCGCAGTAACTTAAATAGTTCAGCTTTCCTAGCTGGTGCTGGGTATGAAATATGGCGTTTACGTAATTCAGCTCTGATGCGAGGGATAGTCCAGGATCTGATAGATGTAGGACTAGCCATGTCTCCTCTGCGTAAAGGTGTAGCGGAACTAGCTGGAGTGCTTTGCCACCTTCTTGTATTTCAGACATGCTAAATGATATAAGGTTACAATTAGTATATATGCTTTGCTAGCTAAAGCCAAGTGGTGAAACAATTATGCTAAGTTGGTGACAGGTGAGGCCCTGCTAGATGTCAAGCAGCTTGAGAGGCTTTATCTATGAGTTGGCGTGAGGGGATTTTGTGGCCCTGGAATGTTGTGGTGGGGTGTTGGCCTCACGGTGAACTTTAAAAGCATTAGATAGAATGGGAGTGGCATACAGATCATATATTGAATTTATCTATCACGCTGGTGAGATGACGTAGACGTAGGGCTTGTCTATGTTGTGGTAGGGGTGTGGAGAACCGGGGAGCGCAAA